ACCAAACAAAAAACAATAATAAATAAAGTTTATCTATCTCGTATAGATACATGGGGCAAAGCTAATTTGCTAAAATCTTAGTTATTAACTGCTCACAAAACGTTACTGTAAGGCGTTATTAGCCTGAAGAACAAAATTAATACCTTTATTCATGATTATTTTATAATTTAAAAAAATGGTTTAATGATCCTTTTCAGATAACGTTAAATAAACCTACAAGTATCCCAATCTCTTTTGGTATAATTGTTTACGATATCAGTTAACCAGCTTATATTATAAAATGAGCGTAGAGGAACATTCAAGCTGTGTATATTAATTATGATTGGTAAAAAATTTTTTTATATAATTTTTTTATATATTTAAGTGTTTATTGTTGGTAAAAATCAATTAATAAATAATAAATATAAATAAAATAGGTAATTGTTTTAATATATAGTTAATTATACAGTTATTAGTTCTAAAAAAATATCCCACAGTTTCAGTTAAAATTAGAACTACATTTGCAAATACCATACTCAAAGACTATAAAATAAGCAAATATTTTAAATTATTATTGTTGAAACTGGTATGATTTTTAACTTATTGTCTTACATGGAAAATCCCAACCTTGAGTTCAGCAGGACTGTAAAACAAATTTTGTATCTGTAGAGGCCGGCAAAAGAGGCGAGGCCGAGGCAAACATACGTAGGTCCATCAATGCCTACTTGCAGCGAAGGCATGTATAGTTCTTTTCAAAAATAATACGCGGGAATTCAAGCTAAGTAGTATAATTCAGAACTTTAAGACCTATGACGAAGTTTACGAACAACGTTTTTAACGCGCCAATAATTTGCCAATGGAAATTTAAATAAAACCTTTGATAATATACCTCTTTGGTCGCCATGTTATGGCATTAGAAGATCAAGGTTTTCCGGATTCGAAGATCATTCTCGTAGTATTAAATTTTGTCGTAAACGCGACAGATATTAATTTTCATATAACTATTACCAGCCGCTGCTCGACCAGTACAGCAAGTTCGATTTATCTCGAAGAAGGTTGTGAATTAATGCCCATAGTTCCAAACATGTTTGAGAACATTTTTGACACACAAACATGACGTTGACTTGATGAAAGGTGAGATAAGCGAGCTTATAAAATCTAAAAACGTTGACGACCTATTTCTGCTTTGGACTTTTTAAACCCGAAACACGGCTTCTTCACAGCTTTAGATTTATAGACACTAACTGTGCCAGCGACTTCGTCTGCGAGAATCGTTCTTTTAAGCATCATAAATTGTTTTTGCCAACCTCCTGTTGAACTCTATAAATTAAATAAACTTTTTACCCTTTTTAAATAATTTAAAGGGAAATCATTTCGCAGCGTATTCATAAATAATTTTCGACAATTACCGCTGTTTCATCGCTCATATTAGTCGCAGCGCGATGTTTTATAGCCTTCCTCTATAAATACTCTAATAAAAGAAAATATTTTTTTTTAATTCTAAGGAATTTCGATAGGTAGTTCAACCACAAGCTAAAGGTACACATTTTACAGACAGGTTTAAACATATTAATAGAAAATATAATTAATTAAACTAAGCATCTTCTAAGTTATATCAATTTGAATGAACGAACGTGTACAAATTACATCACTTTATATTATTTATAGTTCATATTATATTTTATGCAAAGTGCTTTGAGAAGCCAATGAATTAATCTTATATGACACGCCTACTGAGTTATTTTCCACATTTTCTATAGATAAACAGCTAAGTTGACGTGTCAGGGTCATTTCGTATAAACAAAATGCACACCTCGGTTTGATTAATGTGAAACGAATATGTAAACTATAGTTTAGTACTTATTAACTTGTTAATAATCCCTGGTCGTGGGTGCGATCCCCATCGGGTCCAACGTTGTTCTAATCATTTGTAATTTTCCTAAAAAATGTCGGGCTATGTATGGAAATCAAGGTATTAAAAAAGTGGCACGAAATATCGAAATTCCGTCCGTCCTACGAACCACTGTCCACATCAAAAGCAGACGCGTTTAATATAATCTCGGTTTCACTCCGTGAATTTCCGAATATCCAAAGCTAAAATAGGTCGACAGCGCACGTGTTTAGACGTTACGCGGCTGGTTTATTTCAGACACTATCAAGTGACCCCGTACTAAGTCATCATAAAAATATGAAGGCTTTCGTATCAAAGCTTTAAGTCATAAGATTTTTAATAACTTAAACATCTCCATTACATGTAAACATAATATATACCTTAATACTAGCCAAATGTATGTTAGTAGTATGTATGTTAGGTGGCACAAGTCATCCAATTTTTGGTTCTGTGACAATCCGGTTTCCTCACGATGTTTTTCTTTACCAGACATAAACAATATTCTTTGACTTCACAAACTGAAGTTAGTCGTTCTACCAATTAATTCTTGTAGTTTTACGACTTAAGAAGAATCTTATAAAACATTACTATGTTTTAGTTGACTTATTTTAGCCTGAACAATTTTTCCTTTCCGACTCTCAAATACAATATGTAGTTTAAAGGCAAGTCAGTAATGTACCTATGTGTGTAGCAAATATTTAAATAAAACACTTTTAACGGTTTAAAACTCGAAACATATTAGCAACCATACGGATTTCGGATGCTTTGCTGCAGCTATGGTCACGGGGGCCAGAAACGTCAGGCCGTAGTAATATTAAATAAACCGTTAAAAATACGGTTATAAATACCGGTAAAAAGTTGTTTTGTGTACCTATAACCTTAATTAGTAAGTAAGAGTATATTTAAAGCAGAGAGGTACCTTGTCACTTGGGTAATTTTATAGATGTTTTAATTGTAAATCCTTTGTAAATCGATTGGCGTTATTTTTTCTCTAATAAAAAACAGGTAGCTGTAAGGATATCTGTATTAATATAAGTAAGTAATTAAATACTGTCTATAGTTTACGCGAGTAGTACACATTTAAACCGTTAAAGTGTTTTATTTAAATAAGTAAGTAATGCTAAATTGTTAAAATGATTGAAACATAAAAAAAAACATTGACAAAACTACTATGGAACATTAGTATCTTATGTATATAGGTATATATACTACGCTAGAGGCGGAATATACTAACTAGTTAGTACACTAGCTACTTCTAGACTGTTGTGCTGCACTTGAGACAGTGCATTGTTAGTCGATTGTACTAATCGTTTCAATTAACCTCATTACCTTCTGTTATTATACTCTCGTAGTAATAGTAGATGTACAGGTTTTATCTCTATACTGTGAGACAACAGAAAACATAAAGACGTACTAAAATTCAGCAATATTTGCTCATAAAATTCTGGTTTGCTATAAAACTTTACTAGCTCTTAGCAATATCACTGATATAGATAAAAATATAATTGCTCAGTTATTAGTATTTCAATTGTACCATGTTTTTAAAGTAATTTATATAAGACATTGGTGTCATAAGTGTAATTTATAGAAAGAAGTTTACATAATGTGACCTAAAATGACGGTGCTAAAACGCATTTGTTTACTTGAACCCCTATAACCTCAAAGCCTAAAGCCTAAAGGCATCTTCTACTTGAAGTACGTATACAAGAAACTGCGTCCTTTAAAATGCATTGAAACAACACTTCTTATAGCGCCATCTATGCGCACGAATCGACACTAAAAACTATAACTTACCATTGTAGACGATTAATGTAACGGTTTTCTTCGATTATTACGCACTAATCACTGAATTTTACGTATTTTTCACGGTACCTTCTGACGTAGGCATGTCTTCGGTCGTCGCGGTAAAACTGCGGTTTCCGCGGGCGAGGAACCGGGCCGCGGACACACTCGTCCGGACGCGAGGAAGATAAGGACGCGTCTACACAAACACGTTTTTATGCTAATACCTGCAAGCGACATAAGACGATTCATTCTAAACATTTCCTTATCTATCCTTACGATCGAGACTTTAAAATCCTCTATACGTCATTGAATGAACCAAGTAGAAAACCTCAACCGTTTTAATCGGTAACGCCGTAATATAAAAGTAAAACACAATTTTTACTCATAATTTATTCAAACAAAAACGAAATTAATTCTAAAAACTACATTTAACGCATGTTCATCTCCACGTATTCAAAAGAATCATACATATTATTCAAGAAAATGAAAGCATAATCAAATAATAACACAGCCATCCATTTAGTTAAAACCTGGGGATTTTATTGATCCTCTAAAATATAATAAAACCTTGGATCAAGTACGATATGTATAGCACGCAATCGACTAAACCGGGTAAAACTGTAAAGATAAAATTGTGCTATTTGAATATTGTGATGATGAATATGGTGTGAACTTAAAATAATACCCAATCAAATAATTTCTCTAATATACGTCCTTACAAACGTGACCGAATTAAAATGTGAAGAACATACATTTATAAAAAAAAATAAGATAATAAAAGTAAGAAAGAGCCCGAATAACAATTTGCCTTTTCGTATTCCGATGTTTTCTACATAGAAATCTAAGTATCACGAAATATTTTGACCCAATACATTCCTATGGTATCCTACAAATAATTTTGGCCGTATCCTGTGAATTTGTGTACACCTTACAAGTAAATTCAATTCAACACAGGTTTGACCATAGATTATCTAAATAACTTCTTAACTTAAACTTATTTAAATAAAAATAGGTGTGCGAAGCGAACCCAGACACTTCAATTTCAACATTTTTCTAGTCGTAAGTTGTCATAAATGACATACAATAATTGTGACTATAACTAACCGCTGTTTGGTTTTACAATGAAAGTCCTACTAACAATATATAGGCTTAAAATTGCATCTTAAGACTTTATGTAGGACTTCTGTGGTTGCCCTCTATTCCAACTAGGACTGATGGGATAATAAGACAGAAAGGACAATATAATAATAGTTAGGTATTAGGTGGGTTATAATAAAAGGCAATTGTCTCATCATGTTGACCGGTATCGCGTCATTAAAATATAACCTAAAACTTAATAAGCTAATTACGAGGGTAGTTTAATCTCCTTCCGTCGGTTCAGCATATAATGCGAAACGTTCTCGTACGTGAGGAAAGTTATCATTGTTGCAGGAATAACTCGAACGAGGTTCGGTTGCAGGCCTTTGTAGAAACCCCGCCAGCCCTCGTGCCTGGAAAACATTATAAATGTACTATCTGCATACTTCAAAGGTATCAAACACAAGAAATTACTTACCGTGACATTTTAAAAAGTGTAAATGTTTACACGCATTATTAACCAAGGGTAATGCCCACTATCCATAGTACTACATAGTACATTACAGTTTTCATCTTTTTTATAAAGAATACACTTTTAACGTGTTAAAAGACGTGCAAAGCTACTGCCAAACATCCGTCGGGCCATAGTTAAAATAAATTATAAATGCTGTTACTAACACATGACACGTTTTAAATCGTCAAAAGTGTTACAGTTAAATTGTGTAAATTACAGACAATACATAAACATTGTATTCTTTTATAAATTCTTTGTGGCTTTTGTGGCCTGGGCATTTCCCTTGAGTTGTACACGTTTTAAAATACAACTATATTAAGAATTGTGTGCTAGGTAAATAAAAACAAGCGGCACAATTATGTCAATTTGCTATCATTTATTGATTACACAAATTGAATAGGCGAGTTAGAACATTGAAAATAAGGGATCATAATATAAAAATATATGCTTCAATAAGTGTGGCCAGCCACCGAAATAACAATAAACGCGTACTAATGAAAAATGTGCATCAAATTCTGATATTATTTGGATTTTATTTCACACATCTCAGTAAGTGTACTTCGAATATCTTATTATGGGACATCTATAAACTACATCATTATTTTTTACTTATATAAAACGACACTACTTTTAACTAAAATTTTTTTTGTGTCACATTTCATCAAAGCCTTTCTGACTTTTTACCATGTGATGTAATGAATCATTTGTTTTGATCCCACTTCTAAAGTACTTTGCAAAGCGACTGTCCAAAATCGTCGAAATAGCGACAATACAATGAAATAGTCAAAGTTAAGACTAATTCACCAAAGAGTATACAATAAATAATTAAACCGTTCTAAATTTAATATTGTCACTTAATTGTTAACTTGGATGAAATAAGATAGACATGAAAATACCGTAGTGTCCAATACTTAGCTAAAATTTTGCCTCTTACTGGCAAGTGTGAAATACCTACACAGCTAAATTAGTTCATAAACTACTGGTTTTAAATTAATGATAAATTTATCTAATCGAGATTGGCGACAGTGAACGTATATTTAATCATTAAGTAAAGTGGATAGAATTATTTTTTAATGATATTCAAAATTCTCAAATGACAGATGAACATAATTATGCTAAACAAAGATCCTATCGTCGTCTCACCACACATGTAACGTTGTAAAAGAAAGAAAATGTCTTTTACAGTATCTAGTAACATATTAGGGGCATTCTAAGTACTATTATCACAAAAAATTAATTCTTAATTATTGCAACACTGAGTCGCTTACATAAAAATTATACCGATCTGATGGGAACAATTACACTAATATATACACAAAATTACGTCTATATCGAAAAAATCAACAAACACAACATATGTCGTGAGACAGGCTTCACAAACAATTTTATCAGTACTTATTCAGGGATACCAACTTTTACAAAAATTTCAACGTCTGAAGTTTTTAACCCGTTCTATCAACAGTTAGCCATTATCAGACGCTTTTAACGGTTTAAACCGCGATAATCTATATTATTGTTGACCTCAATCCCCTCCCCCGTGACTACGGCGAATAGAAAGCGTCCGAAACGTCGGGCCGTAGTTAAAATAAATTAAAAATTTAACTAGTACGTTATATGTTTTACAACCCACTGTTAAGTCTTATTATGTTAACTTATCTAGTTACTTCATTTGTTTAAAGTAAATTAAATTCGTCAATGTTTAAAAGTAGGTACCCCTGAGTTTTGTGGGACTAAAATATGAATGATACATTTTTTACCATACCATTAAACCATAGAACATTACAATACCAATTTGTAAATTCAAAACCTGTCACAACTAATTACATAGATAATAAATTAATAAGAAATAAACTAAACACAATAATTCAGATGACGCTAACGGCCCCACATTTACAAATGCAATTTTTACTCTAAATAAACCCACTTAACGCTAAGCTTACCTCGCGGTGACAAAGTCAGCAGTCAAAACTAATGAATCAATTAAATGGATTAAAATCAACAGCAGAAAAGTTAACGGGCCGTTAAACTTGAAATGATGAAGACCTTGAAATTTGAAACAGTTTTGTTTTTTTTTTAATTAAGTGCCAGTTGTCACATCACTCCAAGCGTACAAAACGTTATACAGATACGGCATATATGAGAGGCCACAGAATAGTGTACGTTCTTCCCATCAGAATCAATCGTTATTAGTAAATTTCTCCCAAATTAGCATAACGAGGCAAATGTTGGGCGTTACATGGAGGAGATACGGCGTGAGGCCTTTGTAGAAGCCGCGAATGTGCTCGTACCTCCACGTCTCGGTGACGCAGTGCCACGCCCCGCGGTACGCCCTGTGCTGGTCTTGGAGCCGGGCGCGTATCACCTGATAGGGGTAAGTGGCGCCGGCGGCTAGGAGCTTGGACACCGCAGCGAACGTCAGGTATTCCACTGATGTCTGTAACGAGATGTATACGATTATGATACAATATGGTCAAAATAATACACTTATTAACAATGATTAAAACGCGAAATATTTTAAGCTACAACGTCGGGGGGGAAAAAAAAAAAAAATTTTTTTTTTTTTTTTTTTTTTTTTTTTTTTTTTTTTTTTTTATTTATTATAAAAAAAAATTTTTTTTTTTTTTTTTTTTTTTTTTTACCTCCCCCCGGGGGGGGGGGGGGGCCCCCCCCCCGGGGGAAAAATTTAATAATTAAAAAAAAAAAAAAAAAAAAAAAAAAAATAAAAAAAAAAAACCCCCCCCCCCCCCCCCCGGGGGGGGGGGGGGGGCCCCCCGCCCCCCGGGGGGAGAAAAAAAATTTTTTTTCCCGGGGGGGGGGGAAAAAAAAAAAAAAATATGTGGAAAAAAAAAAAAAAAACCCAAAAAAAAAAATTTTTTGGCGCCCCCCCCGGGGGGGGAAAAAAAATACCTTTTTTTAAAAAAAAAAAAATTTTTTTTTTTTTTTAGGGGGGGGGGGGGGGGGGAACCCCTTTTTTTAATTCCGGGGAAACCCTTTAAAAAAAACCCCCGGGGGGGAAAAAAAATGGGGGTTAAATTTAAAGGAGACATTAAAAAAAAAAAACATATAGATTTTTTTTTGGTCTTTGAGCTAACTTTAGTGCCATCTTTTGCCATTACACAAAATATGTTACTATACTGGTTTGTATAGAAATAAAAAAAATAATTCACTAAAAATGTTACAAGATTTTCATATACTACTAATCTATAATAGCCAAGCGTTGGTTTGTAGATAGTAAATGAAGTTTGATCCACTAGGTTAAATATTATCAGCAATCGAATAGATAAAAGTTCTATCTAAGCTCTTTCCATAATAGACCATATGCCATAAAAAAAGATTACAATAAATGGCAAGACTGTGTATTGTATTAATAACTAATCTTACCAATTTAATGTCTATAGGCAAGTTCCTATACTGATTGTATCTGTTCTTCATTTCTTCATAGGTCATAAACTGCAAGGCGCCGTGGGACACACCAAACATTCCAGGAACAAAGCCCTGGAAAGACGGAAACAAACCATTAGACGGGCTCGTTGGCCTAATGGTAGCAATGTATGGCAATAACCCACGGGTATTGGGTTCGATCGTGGACCCCTTGGGGATGGGCATGTTCCTAATTTTTCTAAAACATGTTGGACCTTGTCTGAAAATCTGGTTAATAGATGGGTGGCAGGAATACCGAAGTTCCGACTAGGAAAATTTAGGGTTGATAGAAAGTGTAGATGTTATATGGTGGGGTATTTCAACTTGTGTCTGTTCTATCAATAAAAAAAATAAAAGGGTTTTTATTGAGAACAAGGGTTGATGATGATAGCCTTTATCTTCTAACCACTCTCTTTGGGAGACCTTGTTCATCTCTCACTGCCCCTTTAAACTTTTCGCAGAAGCATTAAATTTATACTATCGTGAATTCTGTAATATTATTTGTTATAATGTCAGTTCCCATGTGTGTTTGCCTCAACTTTGAGTACATAAGCTTTCAGTACTCAGGACATACAATCACTGCTTTCTCCCATCATTGTAGTGTCTGTTATGAAACGAAGTTACTAAAGTGACCTCGCCAACAATGTCGGTATAGTTTTAATTAGCATCATTATTATATCCTCCTTACATAACATAGATAACCTATGAAGTGTTGCCGCTCCAATTCCGCAGTTTCTGATCAAATCTTTACAACAAACATGATGTAATATTTTCTCTTTCTATAAAATAATAAGAGGAATAGTGTTGACATTCTTATTATATTATAGACAAGCTCTCGTGCAAGTGAAGTCACATTTACCCATATAATTTTATATGTATGTGTTTTTTCTGTAATTTCACAGATTAAAATTCAAGGCTTTTTGTTCGTGGCCTGGACACACTTACGATACTCCTACCACACATTCAATACCTATCCAGACTTGATTAGAAGCATGGTGGACTCGGTGGGGATTGAATTAACGATTAGTAGGTATATTATTTTGCTGGGACTTGAACCAAAGAACTCTTGTACATGTTATAATTATTGCATTAACGAAACGAAATTCCTATCAGTTGAAAAAAACTTTGTCCATCTAGGTAGGGTTAGTGATAAGAGATATAAACTAACCTCTACAATCATAATGTCATTTAATGCTACACTATATAAATATATTCGCTGCATACATTCAAAAAACAGTATTATGGTTAAGAAAACATAAAAGGGCGATCCTATATGACAACCTTTTAACTCACGGCGATCACATAAACAACGTCTTATTGTTGAATTGGCACGACTCCAATACCTATTCCTCAAATATATTTTGTCAAAAGGAAATATAGAGCTTAAAATACAATGAATGAGTAAGTCTTTCTTGAGACATATACCACTTTATGTAACCTAAGGAGGATTGAAATAAAACTATAATATTAGATAGAGATCTGATATAAAGATCTAAAACTGTGACTGAAGACATGTACATTTTCAATCAATCACTGCATTTTTCTGATATAGATAACTGTTTGAAACAACAAGTGATCTTTAAATTTACTATTTCCCGAATATTTGTATAAAACACTACGCTATCTAGTTTGAGATTAGATTTTGTAAAAAATTCCAACAGATATAACGGTAAGGATAGAGTGAAGCAAACTCACCCGGTATAAACCTCGGATACCCTCTGATCGGTATATTTTAGTGAGGCCATCGACCATTCCTTTGTATCTCTTGTTTTCTGCAAGGTGTTCCTCACTGTACTGAAGACATAGACGGGTTTTCACCACCCAAATAGGATTTGTCATTATAAGCGATAGGACACCAGCTTCAGCAGCAGCGAGCATATGAAGACCAGGGCCTAAAGGTGTTCGTGCGTTCCCACCCTGAATCCATGTCTTTATTGCATTGTAGCTGAAATACACAAAAGTTTTTTTGTATTACATTACCTATATCTTTAATCCGACTTAATGTATATATGCCTTCATGAGTATAAACTCTTACAATAAGAAATAGAAGCCCCAAGCTGATCCAGAACCCCATACGTTAGGAGTGACTCCACGATAGAGGCCCCGTACTCCTTCCTTTTTGACAATTGTAACGAAAGCGCTACCGAGTCCATCATAACGTGGTACCGTGGCAGTACGACCGTCGTTAACTGGACACAAGAAAAAATGCAATTAATTATCTTAATAAGGATTTTATAAATTGTTTTTGCTTATTATTGTTAATAAAATAAATACAAATCTAAAAGCTAAATGTAATTTCGTAATATTAATATATTTTAATAAGGAAAATAAATCAGCTCACTACATCACTTAAAATTTAATAAACCTCTGAAACCTAGAATGTTAGTCGTATTTCTTTAAGCATGAAATTATTACTAGTACAAGAATGTGGCGGCGCTTGAGATCATCCTTGGACTCATGCCACTAGATCTAGAAATAAAAAGGAAAGCGACGGAAATGTGGTTCACGTTAAAAAGCTGAGACCTATGGAAAGGAAACATCATGGACAAAAGTCGTGACAAGGAGTAAATGACAAGAACATGTCAATGATCCTTGCCAACAATGTCGTCATACAAAAGGAAAGGATTTTAGACATACAGAATCCACGCTGGGGAAAGGCAGAAGTGGAGAATAGACTCGGAAAATGTGGGCACAGTATGGTACACAGATGGTTCCAGGAAAGAAACGACAGAAACTCTCTGGATCAGGCATATCATGAAATGCGAGGACGGAACAGAGATAACTAGATCAATCCCACTGGGGAAACTTGTTAGTGTATTCCAGGCAGAGAGATATTCCCCATCATGGAATGTGCAGAGATTGCCAGGCACTTAAGACCCCTGTCAAGTGTTACAATTTACAGACACAGTCAGGCGGCACTTAAAGCGCTATGCAAAGAAGAGACAACATCCGCTATTGTCAAAGAATGTAAGAAAGCACCTCCTATGTCCGGAGTGCAGAGAAAGTCAGGAAACAAGCATCCATCTACTCACTGAATGCTCTGCATACTCGAGGCTAAGACAAATGGATATGTGCTCGGAGGAAGTTACAGATGTCATTAAAGAACTACATGCACACTACGCAAGCAAACCGGAAGGTTTGATGGAGACACGGGGAGAGTTGGATGGCCCAAAACCTCTGCAAGGAGGAAAGGGGGGAAATGGGTGAAATGGTCAGCGGATAACGTGGACTGATCACCCGTCCTGCCAAGGGTGTCTCCGATAGAAAATAATAATAGTACAAAAATGTACACTCCTTAAAGGAAAGCGTAGTCAAAAATGGTTGCAATATTTATCATTCATTCAATGCCTCAGATGTAACAAGTATTACTTAGTAAGTAGTATTCCTTAGTAGTAGGATATGTTTAGAACCATTTAAATTGTACAACATATTGAAGATTAAATTAAAGTTATGTTCTCTTACAAATCCTAATTTATGCTAGTACAAGTACATAGTACATATGGGTGATATGGGAAACAATTAACTTGATAACTAAACTTTAACAGAAGGAAAGTAATTCTTAGTTACTAAGACTTATAGGTCTTTTATGTGACCCAGATTCATTGCTCTCAAGTAAAGATACTTACTGTAGGTTTTGTAAGGTTAACCATAAGTTTAATAGTACAAAACATCAAAACTATATAAAATGATAGTACCTACATGCAACAGGTATTACAAAAAATTTATGTGTATGTTGTTTCGAATAACACAAATCTTAAGACAGTATTTTTTATGACTTAGTTTACAACAGTCATTATTATGGAAAAACTCATTAAATGATAATGTTAGATTTTAAGAGAGACAAGCATAAAGAAATAACCAAGTACAATAGAATTATTATGTTATTACACACATATTGTGATCAATGTATTGACCATTATTCATATGCATACTAAAGTATTTCTTAGTAATAATTAATGTGGAATTAATTGTCAACAGCCTATAAAGCAAGGCTGTAAGTATGGGTGGTTAATATTTTTCTTTATTTTGAAAAAAATCAACAAACAAAGAGACACTAGCCCACTAAATACTACTTTGAACAAAGAATATTTGAATCCTGATTGAATAAACAATTACAAAACTCTCAGTATTTACACCAGACATCATATTTAAAATATGTGAACTAAGTACGTATCGCTTAAATGCTATCCCTCTCCATCAAATGCAAGCATAACAATTTATGGATTTATTTATTACGTTGTATTGCATCATTATTTATGAACTAACTAATATTGTAAATGTTTACATCATTTAAAAATGGGATAATTAGTGTATGAACCTTAAGACGCGATAACGAAATAGAAAAATAACCCTACTTTGGCACCAATAACGTCACGTAATGTTTTTAATAACTTACCAGCAAATCTAATTTTTATTAAATCCAAAGGGTGTAAGATGAGAGTGGACGTTACACCACCAGAAATACCAGCGACCAAGTGCTCATACTTGATGTGACTGAGAAGAGCGAGTTTAGAAGACGACGAATTAGGATTCTTCATTGTAGTCATGTTTATATAAATCACAGCAGAAACATTTTGTGGAGACCGAATAGATATTTACGCTTGCCGCACACTTTCCCACCTATCTTTTGCGAAATTTATGAAAATTTTATTGTCACTGTACATCATTGCTTTCCTAATATTTCGACGAAATGAAATAAGAGTGAGGAAAATAATTTCCACATGATTTCCTTCAAAATTCAATTACAAGAATCGTCATACGCTGTCAGATTTCATATTATATGTCAGTTGTCATAATTGCTAATATCAGTGGTAAATCGTGACACATGAGATGTGTAGAAGTTCTAGATTCGATTTCAAATTGTTAAGGTGGGACAACTACAATTTAATTTATAGTCATTGTTTTGTTTTTAATACAAAAAAACTTTACTTACGACACGTTATTAGTTTTATTTTATAATAATTATATACTAAAGAAAATAAAGAAGGTTGGTGGATTTTGGTTCACGCAGTGGCCATTGGTTTAAACTACAAATTTATAGAAAAAAAACTAGCAATACTATACCAATAGATGGCTATAAACGATTAGCTATGGAGCTATATAGCCTGTGCTATCAAGTCTTTTAATCGATACATACTTTATTTTTTGACGTTTCTGTCGCTTTGACATCTATTTTACCAATTATTTTCCATTTGTCAAGAATTGACCTAAGATTCTCGAGCATTACGTAAATCTCTGAGCAAAATTTTAAAAGAGTAGAACCTATAAAAATGCTGAAAGTAGCAACTACGTTACGGCTTGTTTCAAAGCAGGGTAATCTACGACTGTTCGCTACCGCTGCAAAGCAACATGAAGCCCTAGTAAATGTTCCACCGACTAAACTCACAGTGCTGGACAATGGGATTCGTGTTGCAACAGAAGATTCTGGCTCTCCGACCGCAACCGTAGGCCTCTGGATTGACGCTGGATCAAGGTACGAAACATCCAAGAACAATGGTGTTGCCCATTTTTTGGAACACATGGCATTCAAGGGTACTAGTAAAAGGTCGCAAACAGACTTAGAGCTTCTTGTAGAGAACATGGGAGCACATTTAAATGCTTACACGTCTCGCGAACAGACTGTGTTCTATGCTAAGTGTCTTGCTAATGACGTGCCCACAGCCATCGAGATCCTTGCTGATATAATCCAGAACTCTTCGCTTGCGGAACCCGAAATCGAACGAGAACGCGGCGTTATATTGCGTGAAATGCAAGACGTCGAAAGCAACTTACAAGAAGTTGTATTTGATCATCTGCACGCAACAGCATTCCAAGGTACACCTTTGGGACAGACAATTCTTGGACCCACTAAGAACATCAAAAAGATTTCAAAAGCTGACCTGCAGCAATATATTAAGACACACTACCAACCTGCCAGGATAGTATTATCTGGTGCTGGAGGTGTTGAACACAACAAATTAGTTGACCTAGCTAACAAACATTTGGGTAGTTTGAAAAACACTGCCTTAGATGTACCCCAAATTACCCCATGCCGTTACACTGGTTCGGAAATCAAAGTCCGAGATGATTCTATGCCTCTTGCACATATTGCAATTGCTGTAGAAGGTGCTGGCTGGACCGATGCTGATAACATTCCTTTGATGGTGGCAAACACTCTTATTGGAGCTTGGGATCGCTCTCAAGGAGGTGGCGCCAACAATGCTTCATTTTTAGCCCGTGCTGCTTCAATTGAAAACTTGTGCCACAGCTTCCAGTCTTTCAACACTTGCTACAAGGATACTGGACTTTGGGGTATCTACTTCGTGTCTGAACCAATGCAAATTGATGACATGGTATTCAACATTCAAAGAGAATGGATGAAACTCTGCACATCAGTAACAGAAGGTGAAGTTGAGAGAGCTAAAAACTTACTTAAGACCAATATGCTATTACAACTTGATGGAACCACACCCGTATGTGAGGACATTGGTCGTCAGATTCTGTGCTATAACAGGCGTATACCAATTCACGAGCTTGATGCACGAATTGAAGCTGTGTCTGTACAAAACGTCAGAGATGTTTGCTATAAGTACTTATATGACAAGTGTCCAGCAGTGGCTGCAGTGGGTCCTACTGAAGCTCTTCCCGACTACAACAGGCTTCGTGGAGGCATGTACTGGCTCAGAGTGTAATGCCCGTATTAATAGTGTACCTTAGCAACAATTTAAAAAACCATTTAAGATTAAATTAATATTAAATCTCTTACCCAAATGTCTGTTGTTTTATTCTAATAAAACACAATGTCTTTGGTACTGTATTTATTGAAGTGTAAGTTAAAAATTGTAAATAAATAAATGATAAAATAATTGTTTTTACTTTTGCATGAACTTTAATAACATATTTAAATAAAACACTTACATATTACTATGTGACAACAGTAAAATCCCATTTCCCCCTTGTAGGGCATGGGGCGAATATATTTCTGTGTCCATTTCAATGATCCGTAATTTAACAGGCAAGTAGTTGATCAGACTTCTGTGCCCTGCCTGCCAGAAACAATTCATTGTTTCCCTGGGATTTGAACCCAGGACCTCTCGCGCTTAACGCAGTGATATGTTTAACTGTTTGGCTACAGAGGCGGCCAATCTTCTAACTATGTGACTATGATCCTCCTGAATCATCGGTTTGTTTATAAATATAATCATAATAAGTGTAATCAATATATTTTCGTATATTATTTATAGTAGTTTTATTTAATTGAATACTATTAAACATGAACGACAGATAAAACACAATAAAATATGTCTATAATGATTGATTAGAGGAATGTTCAGGGGGTTTATCACTTTTCTCTTGCGTATTAGTGACGCTTGGTTTACGAGCACTAGTAATTTGCTTCTTCCTTCCATATGGCAAGACAGGCTCATTATGACTAATGAGACTAGCTGATGATATAAAAACAGACATTTGCTCAGGTGTGGGACAAGCCACAATTATAATGTCATCATAGGAATATTCAGAGGTTTTTAGCAATTGCTCCAACTGGACAAAGTAGCCAACAACATTGTTCTGAAAGAAAAGAAATGTTATACAATTATCAGTATCCTTTCCTATTTTGATCAATACTATTTGTAATTATTAAACACTAGCTGTGTCAGTGACTTCGGTCATGTTGAAGACTTATTTTGGCCATCAAATTGTTTTTGCAAACCTCATCTTTATAAATTGTAGCCTTTACCAACGACGACGTCGGCGCCCCGGTGTTTTTGCAAGCTAATCTTAAAGTTCACATTTACTGTCGCAAATATTTTTTTAGATAATTTAAAGAGGAATAAAACTTTCATACATATTTTTTTTCAAGAGGTTTCATTTGCTCCGTAAAAAATGAATAATTTTCCCCATTTCCCACTTGGTCTTCGCTCCTATTGGTTGCATTGTAATGTTTTATAGCCTTAAGCCTCTCTCGATAAATGTTCTAACCAACACAAAAATAATTTTCAAAATCGAATAAGTAGTTCCTGAGACTAGGGCGTTCAAACAAACAAACTCTTCAGCTTTATATATTAGTATGGATGCTTACTCGTATCGGTCTGAATAATATAAACTCTGTTTCCTTATTGGATAGATAGAGCTGCATCGACCGCTGGAGAGGCGCAAGGGTAGATTTAATTCGCTTCTGAGCCTCTTGCACAGCAATCGCTATCTGTGAAGGAGCAGCCCACGGTTGCATCTTCAACTGCTCAGTTGGTTGCAATAATTGCACCTGAGGATAAGAAACAAACATACACTTGAAACTAAAAAAAATATTATAAATGGAAAAACTGACGACACGAGCTGGCCCTAACTCTGTTAAGGTTGAAATTACATTGCGCGAGAGGTGCATGCATATGTTGAGAAATTTCGAGGATAAAATGTAGGACACGGTAGCTCAATTGGTCTGATCGGCAGCACGGAACGCTGTAGATGCCGGTTCAAGTTCTGCTCGAATCGTTAATTTATAATTTATATAGTGCAATAACATGTGAAAAAGTTCTCGAGTACATATCTTCTACCGAATTATATTATAATGAAATTATAGCAAAACAATTAAAAAATAAGCTACTTTATTTATGTAAAAACAAACTTTATTTCTTATAGGGACCCGTAGAACATTAATGGTTGTAAATTAGCTTAGTTGTAACTTGCATCTATAGTTCTTATACACATATAACTAAACTTAAAAATGCATTTAATTTTTCTATAAGTTGAGATGTAGCGCCATCTGTAATCGATGTAAGTTACTACTCAAAAAATACATGTGTCGCTCAGAGATAAATAAATAACTGACCTTATCAATTAATTCTATCAGCGGCCCAACCATTATTCTCGTGGCGTCCTTTATGAATAATTCACAGCAACTCTTCAATTGCCTGTCTACTTCCTTCCTCGAATCTAGCAGATGTTCCTTCACTAGTGGCGTCCCCTCTAGTAAAAATTCTAGCAGAGTGTTATTACTGTTCATTGTAAAGATTTGTCTCGGCTTCTGTATGAACCCATAAGCTGCATTTTTCATATTACTGAAGTCTAGAGACGTTTCTTTGATGACAAAATCGACTTGGAATGGCGCAATTTGTTCTCGCAGAATAAGAAGGTGTTTGATTTGGAATAACTCTCCATCTATACTGGTCTTTAAGGCTGATATTTGGTTGGCAGCGTTCGCAACGCTCTGGACGCAGAGAGATATCGCTTCTTGAGCGAGTCCTGTAAATAGGATTCATTATTGAGATTATATTAATGTTTAATAGAGGCGTTATTTTTTAATAGAATTTCAAAAAAAAAAAAAAAAACCGGTTTTGTATTTTGGGGAAAGGGACTATTGCTGTACTAACTGGCTTCGTTTGACCGTGAGGTTTAATTGCGTTTCGGTTTGAGTATGTTTATTTCCTAATAACCAATGATGAAAAATAGGTTGACATTTGAATTGATATGTTAAATGGCTAGGGCATTTAACCTTTCATCAAGTCATCTCCATGCTTCTTTGTCCTCAAAAAAACAGCGTCCCATTTTTGGAGGTGACTGTTTTAGTTTCATAAAAAACCAATACCTTGGAACACTCGTTTCTCTAAACACCTGTAGAGGCGGGATAATGCAGCTAAAGTTCGTCGTACACCAGGATACCACATGCCATGAAGGTCAGCAGGCGAGGCTTGTGGTCGCCGCTGTGCCTCCACGTTTATATTGGCTACTTCTTGCGATGTACTGGACATGTCTGACACCAACGAATTGCGAGAGTCGCTACGCCTCAAACTCTGTTCTTGAAGCGATAAGGCTATTTGCTGGAACGAAATAGAAATTGTTACGCGCTATATGTGCAACTACCCACATATTTTTTTTATGATCGAAGAGGATAGACAAGTAGGGTTCACACACACACTGCGGCCATATAAAATCGAAACTAGATGAGCTGTCGAACTATTTTGATTTCGGATATTTTTAAATCCACAGACTGACACCGAAACGCGATTAAACTTGACGGTATTTTCACCCTTGGACGGTAGATGGTTATGCGGGCGGAATTTCGATATTCCTGGACCTGGAGGGACGAACCATTACCATTACACCAACGAGCCCGTCAACAATACTTGCTTAACGCGAGTAGTAAACTCGTAAAAATAAAGCTGATCCTCATGATACTTACCTCCATCATCTCCAATTTGTCAGGATAGGCGAGATCTCCCGGTGCCGGTTTGTAGTGGAGCACATCAGCCCTAAGATGCACATGGGCGCGGAATACTAAACGCTCTTGTGTATCCTGCAGTAGGGCACGAGCGACACCTCCCAAAGCTTGGAGAGCCGCTAGAATAAAATTTAAAAAAAATTATATTATACAATATTAAAAAAAATTTTGGAAACGCAAAATTAAAAAAATAAAATATTTTAATGGTCTCCTTAAAAGAGAATTACAAGTTGTATTGAAGCTATTTAAGTAAGTTCATGAATAACTAGTTTAACAGTAAAGTAACATAAGTATTAACAGTACTGTTTCCTTGTACAGTAGATTTAAGCCTTCAGCTACTTACGGTCGTTATTAACTTGTTCTTCGATGACTTCGACTTTGAGTATGACACAGAGCTCAGCCAGCGTCTCCAAATGGTTGATGTGTATGATGTGGGGCCGCAGGGTCTCGTACAAACCGGTGCTCAGGGATTGAAGGTAGTCCCTACGATATGTATGTATAAGAAAACATGTTGACACAATAAGATACACTTATTGACGATTTCGATATTTTAAATTGTAAAATATAAAATCAATTTACCATTTCAAGTGTCTATCTGTACAATTTATTTGTATAAAACGAAAATAGAAGAGGCAGTGCATATTTTGTATGGGAGCCCTTGTATACAGATTATACCCAAACATTAAATTGTTTTTAGTGATTGTCTTAATAGTGGAAACAGATAAATACATATAGTGATCGACAGACAAAGAGCGATGTCATAGAAAAAAAATATATTGATTCAACCTTTTGGATTAGACATTGTGACTTCAAATCCCAACCCAAAACTTCAGAACGTATGGAGTTTAATTTTAAGGTCGTTAGTCCGATTTTTTTATGATTGATCCTCTATCAACATGTCTCGTTAAAACTATAAGTTGATTATAAACACGTTACACTCAGTGGGGACCGAACCTGCGACCCGTTCATTATTGGCAATACATTGCTTTAAATAGGCCAATGAGCCAGCCTTTGTATGCCGAATATATAATATTGTGAAAAAAAAAATAACAATATTTACTCAAGAGCCTGTGAAGTTTGTGAGAAAAAGTGGTCGTAGAGTGCACACTCGTCCCGCATGGCAAGCGCAAGTAACGAACATGCGGCTCTGAGCATGGCGCAGTGGTCTCGAGCATGTTTGTTTCCGGCAACAGCCAGAGCACCGGCTGTAGGACCACCAGCAACGCGGTGGCGACGAGACGCGTATTCCCGTTGGATGTCTGATAGAAGGAGACCATAGCTGAAAGTAAAAATCAAATAAAAGTCGTTACTTAGAATGTATAAGCAATTCGTCAGTGTCGTTTTCACGTGACACCAAGTAACTACGTTTTTGGCGTGAACTTGTTTGAAATATCAAATGAGTTCCATATTTAAAAAAAAATTATTATAAATTCATTCGTGTGAAATCAAGTTGTTATGTAAAAAAAATATTCCAATTATTATTATGACCACTACACCAATATTACCATTAAGATAATAACTAAATTACACAATGCTCTACAAGAGCAACAGCACGGAACGCCGACGATGCCGGTTCAAGTCCTGCCCGAGTCGAAAATTTATTTAATTTATTTTCGATTTTTAAATTATATAGTTCCTTCATGTGCAATAACATGTAAAAAATAATAAACTTTTCAAACATATTAAGTAATCAAAACTTAACTAACCATAGTACTTCTATTTGCGTACAGAGGGCAGTAGTGTTATAAAACTTACTCTTCATTATTTTCCGCCCGTTTTTCAACTTCAGTAATTACCAAGCGAAGTTTAGGCGCGGCTGCCTGAAACTTGCCGAAATAAACAGCATATGCCATGTCCACAGACTCGCTGTCGTGTGGTTCATCTGGTGAGAGGACTTGCTCAGTGGCCTGGTTCAACACATGGTTGACGTAGCTACGAATGAGCGACATTCCTCGGCTTTGCAGGTGTCTGTATTTTACTGTATACGCATGGGCCTCTTTGTAACCGGTCTGAAATGATGAAATCATTTAAACTGTAAGGTTAAAGTAATCTGGTAGTTATTTATATTATTTACTAACTTTACAATGAGTATCTACTATCTCTGTCCGTTGTAAAGCATATTGCGCCTAGTATTGTCGTAAGTGTCAACTTACTAAACAAAAAAGTAATCTAATTTTCCTGCAATAAAATTTCAATTCATAATATTGGACGTATCTTCACTGTAGTAATAAAGAATATTTCATCTGGCTGCTATATATAGCTATATACTTAAACATGTTGTCTAACATTGTGTTTATAGGTCTTGGGTTTGAATCCCAGGGAAATAATAAATTGCTCCAATTGGGCAGTCTGATGTAAATGAAATAAATCAGTAATGTGTCCAACCTATCCAATAAGAAAAGTTTGTATGACATCTTAAAAATAATTTATACTTCACTCTCTGGTACTAACATTTGCTCTCATAAAGTCCAAACACTCATCAATTTTTGAGAGGACATTGAAAAATGTGTCACTGTTCACTGACATGGTCGGACTGTTTAACCTCTGCGATAGATGTTCCACTTGGGTGAAGTAATGCAGCTTCTGTTTAATATCATCACCTGAAATTAATATGTTGAAAAACTTTTTACTTCCCTCTTGAGAAAATAAGTAGTTTTAGTGTTTTTATTACCATTGACATAATTTTTTTGTAAAGGATTGGATAAGCAATTGTTTGATAAACCAACACTAATATATATATATATATGGTGTTGGTTTATATATATGTATAACAATTTCAATATACCTATATTTTAAAAATCGAAAATAAATTGGAAATAATTTTTTAAAAAAATCGACGTGGTCCGTACTTGAACCGGCATCGTATGCAAGCTGTGCTGTAGCTCTTATTTGCTTATCTTTGCTATTATCTTTGAGAATTTTTTTTTCAATTTATTTTCAATTTTTAAATTATATATATATTAAGTGCCTCCATCTGCAATAAAATATTAAAGTTTTCATACCTATATTTGATAATTTTGTCTGGTCAGCTAAAAGTTGCTCGCTCATAGTATGCAATGCATCAGTTTTATCTGATACCAGCTTGTATTCGTCTGAGAGCTTGTTTAGGCTTGAAAGTGTACCTGTTATCTGTAATTTCAGAAAATTGTCTACAATCTTCCGCACATTGACAAATGTTTAAGATTTATGATATGTAATTATAAAACCATTTATAAAAGCAAATTAGTTTAAGACTTATTGTAGAATAAATTGTTAATCATGTTGCCTAGCATTGCATTCAGCACAAGAGGTTTTGGGTTCAAATCCTGGGGAACCATTGGATTGTTATGGTCCGACAGGACACACATGTCTGATTAACTACTTGCCTTAAATAAAACCGATCAGTGAAACAAACGCAGAAATGAGGTAGCCCCATGCCCCAAGGGATAACGGGAATTTATTTTTTTTTGAATAAACTGTGGAGAAAAAAATATGTAATTTTATAAGTTTACCTGATCTGTTAAAGAAGCACACTCATTTTTTCTATCTTCTAACTGTTTGTAATACGCTTCATATAGGCAGTCGTTTACTTTTAAATTCTGTTCATTTAAATTATTATAAAAATCGAGAAAATCGTATACAGTATTTATGTTAGGTGAATCCGATTCTACAACATTTTCTTCTTCCTTTTCCTGAAAATAAATGGTATTTAAATGGATGTAAAAGGTCTTCTTATTGTATGGTATGTATTCGTATTCAAGAAATCTCTTTGAAACATACGTATAACTCCTCATCATTGTTTAAGAGAGACTCAAGATCTAAGATAGTTTCTCGCTGTGAAGAAGTTAGTGGTGCCAGGGGCTCTTCAGCTGCTTCCCACAACAATAACTTGCTCTGTATTTCTTTTAAGGTCATAGTATCCATGATATATATAATTATTTATAAATTAAATAGTTAGAAATTACAATATTTATTTATCTTCAGCTTGAACTTTCAACATTTATCTGTTTGACAGTTGGCAGTTCAGTCACACGTCACGTCGTAATATTGACTTTCAGGTTCCACAAAAAAATACTAGATGGCGTGTATCTAAATTTATGGAAACGAAGTAGTTTACGTTTGTAAGGGTTTTTGGTAGGTATTAATAGAGTATAATTTATTTGAAGACATTTAAATAAACACTGTAACGGTTTAAGATGCGAAATATATACTAGTTAAACTTATTTTAACTACGGCCAGACGTGTCAGTACAGTTTTACTAATATATTTCGCGTTTTAAACCGTTAAAGTGTTTTATCTAAATGTTCTATTCGCGTAATCTACATAATATTTAATATTGTAATTTATATGTACTGCATTTTTTTTGTCTCTCATTATACGTAGGTTATTTTAAATTATAATTACCTAAAATATTTCTTTTTATATTCCGCCTAACGGCTACTCTTCATACAGAAATCGGTTTTGATCCCCGCTTATTTTACCTAACTTATTTATTCTTATATGAAACCACATAAGTTAGTATAAGTGCAGTGACAAGTGTTATTTAGACAATCAGTAATATCTTATCTGTCATATCACTATTGTTTGTTCCTTGTTGCGTTATCTGACACATTGTGATTAATAATTATCAGTAAGCACTATCATGATGTAAGAAATAAGGTGTTTAATTTAACTAGATAAAAAGTTATGGTTTTATCGACTTACAATGTTAAATATATTGAAATTATTTCAATAATTGTTGCCAATGGTATGACAATGTTGAAGGTAAAGGGGGAGGAAATTAAACGAAATAAAAATGAGTAATTTTGCATTTATTGGGTATGAGGAACCTTTCTGGTCAACATAAGCTACAATGGACATTCTGTTTACAATATATTTACAATTTTCAGAATAATAATATTATATCATATCTAGCAATGAAGTAAAATTACGGCATATTCACAATAATTAAAAGGACTAAATAGAACATCATCTATACACAAATAATATGTAGTAGTCTCATATCAAACACTACTCTAGCATAATCCACTGCTGGGACGACCTTCCAAATATCCAGGACTCGCACTCATAGACTTTTACATCGACATACACATTCTTTTCATTCAGTCTCCAGCGCTTTTGTTCTTTTGTTTACATTAAACAGTAAAGCGATTTATTACAGCATACTTAGGTTACATAATTCAATTTTTAGCCACTCCTCGATGGCATCGGACGTACTTAAGACTCTTATATACATCGTCCCGACTTGTATTCTAATACAACTTGTACTATATACAAACAATTTATATTAATAAAAAAATACAATGTTAAATTGCTATGCATTACCTCTATTATTGATATATAGGGTAGGAATAAAAATAGTTGTTTTTTTTCAGTTTCAGCGTGCAAAATTTTTTTCAAGCCAGCGTTTTGTCGAGGCCACACTCTCACGACGACTACACTACAGACTCTTTAGTATAACGCTAAACATCTATCTGTTGACGTTCTCCGAACGATAAGTATACAAACTATAAGTGGTAGTCATTAAATACAACTAAATGTTAAAGCACACGACACAATCAGTAAGTCTACCGACAGATCATTGTTTGCGGAGTCCACCACTCGCCGTTTTAAACTAACAGACAACTTAATGCACATACAAAAAGTACAAAATAAATTAACAGTCAATTGTTCAATGCGTACATACATATATCCGACTATTTTTATTTTAGATTTAAAACACACGACTTAATTTACTACATGGAACGTTATATGGATAGCGATACCTAAAACGAAAAAATCATTAATCGATAACGTCGCTCAGGACGCGCGAGTCGAAACACTAAAAAGTCTCAGTCGAGACGCGTAGCAAAAGCATGGCAGTTAGCACGAAATTCTGCACCCTAAAGATTAAATAACAGAAAAATATATTTATGTATTGAAGCATAATAATCGAAGGCTACACGGCCCGCGCGGGGCTCTCGTTCTAGCCACGTTACGTGAACTCCGATATGCTATGCGCGTTGCGTACCCACTCCGTCCCCCGACGCTGCGTCCATCTGTTAACCTACGAATTAACATAGCACAGCCATTATGACTTTCCGGTCCCGCGTGTCGCGCGCCGAGGGGGAGGCCGAAGGAGCCGAGCTGGCGATCACCAGCGGGCGATCTGTCGTGCCCCGGGTTTAGGACACCGGCGGCTGGGGGCCCTGCGGTTGCGGCGGAGGCTTCGCGCCCACCACCGGCAGCTGCGCCAGCGTGTCCTGGCTGGCGTGAGCGCGTAGGTAACTGTTCTCCACTTCGAGCTGATTGATCCTCTCCATTAGTTCGGCGATGCGCTCCTTTAGAACTTCAACTTCTTCGCGCACCGCGAACATCAAGTGGCTCTTAACCAGATCCTGAAACAACAGTTGGTTAATTTAGTTTTAAGATCACAATTCTATTTATATATATTGATATATAAAAATAAAAATCGTATATCTCTATCCCTCGAAAATATATATTTAAAACTAAAACAAGCATATCCTACGAGGAGATTTCTTATTGAACTTCCATATAAACACTGAAACGTACTTTAGTATTAGACACGACCACGTAACAAGGATCCTTTTCTCCCTTCTGTCTGATTTCGTAAAGGCATCCATCGCGAGGTTGAATCACGTCAAGCATTTTTAAATCGATAAAAAATAATGCGAGGTGCGCCAACGACAGCCGTAATGATACTGATAGCTAAAGACTGCGTAAAATAGTGCGATAGTTATGTTGCTCGTTTAGGTCCGGGCGGGCGACTGTTGGTCTGCGCGTGCGGCTGCCCTATTTAAGATGGCTGTGAACACGTCATCGACCATGCGGTTTGTGTGTGGACATTGTACTCAACAACAATCCCGCATCGACATAAATATGACTCCTGTTTTCTAGAACCCTTTGGCGCGACGCATGAAAACATCGATAGAAATGGGGCAGTATACAATGGAAGTTTTTTGGGTAAGGAAAAGTGAACAAGACATGTACATATGAAACTTCTTTTTATTGTGCAATATAAACACGAGGCGAATTCAACGAATGTTTTAAAATAGCACCAGAGATCGAGAGAAAAAGGATTGAACTCGAATTCACATTAAAATTTTATTAGCTATACATACAACATATGACTTCCTTGTAGTCTTATAAGAATTTTCAGTTTTGTCAGCGGTAAAGCGACTAAATATAATATTATTCACATGCTTGTTTGAAATGTAGAACTGCTAAACGAAGAGTGTTTTCACCTAACAAAATTAGGCACATATAACGTTTTAAGAATGTGGATGGAGTCACTGTCAACATCTCTTATCTTTATAGTCATGTTTACGAATTTACTGGTAAAATAGATATGTAGGGCAAAATGTACCAAGGTGTACAGTTTGACATTATAGATACCATTAAAAGCGGAGTATATTTGCATGTGAGAGAAAATTGAATCAAGTGCAACGCCCTCGTGAAGAGTACAGTGAACTTTTTCGCAGTCACGTACCAAATACAGCAGGCGATGATATAATGGGCCCAAGGGCGCATGATTAAACCAGTTGGGTCGCTTTTGAACGACTTCTCCACAAACGCAAGCGCAGTGATTGCAACTTGCGGTCTTAGATGATTTACTTAAATTCACACATTAGCGGTGCGCCAGAAACACAAAAGAAAACTCGCCAGCTGATAACTGAATAACTGTAGGCGGTTACTATATAAACATTAACGATAAAAACATAAGATGAAAACTCAGGAGGTCACAAACACGATATTAAAATCGTAAAATTCGCATTCGGTCGTAGTTCGATGACATCATCGCAACATTTAGACGTCGGCACCTCGGAATAAAAACAAGATATAAATTTCAGATCAGCCATTAATATAATGTTGTTATTGCCAGCATTGTTATGGTAAATAATTTTGCCATTACCATTCTCGTCTGAAATATTATCTTAACTACATTTTATTACACATATGGGAACTAACAGAGTAACAGACGATAATGTAAAAAAAAAAAAAAAAAAAAAAAAAAAAAAAAAAAAAAAAAAAAAAAAAAAAAAAAAAAAAAAAAAAAAAAAAAAAAAAAACACCCCCACGCCCGCCGCCCCCCCCCCCCCCCCCCCCCCCCCCCCCCCCCCCCCCCCCCCCCCCCCCCCCCCCCCCCCCCCCCCCCCCCCCCCCCCCCCCCCCCCCCCCCCCCCCCCCCCCCCCCCCCCCCCCCCCCCCCCCCCCCCCCCCCCCCCCCCCCCCCCGGCGGGGGGGGGGGGGGGGGGGGGGGGGGGGGGGGGGGGAAAGAAAAAAAACAGAAAAAAAAAAAAAAAAAAAACACCCCCCCCCCACACAAAAAAAAAGAGAAAAAAAAAAAAAACAAAACCCCGGGGGGACACCCCCCCCCCCCCCCCCCGGGGGCCCGCCCCCCCCCCCCCCCCCCCCCCCCCCCCCGGGCCCCCCCCCCCCCCGGGGGGGGGGGGGGGGGGGGGGGGGGGGGGGGGGGGGGGGGGGGGGGGGGGGGGGGGGGGGGGGGGGGCGCGGGGGGGGGGGGGGGGGGGGGGGGGCGGGGGGGGGGGCCCCCCCCGGGGGGGGGCGCCCCCCGGGGGGGGGCGGCCCCCGGGGGGGGGGGGGGGGGCGGGGGGGGGGGGGGGCGGGGGGGGGGGGGGGGGGGGGAAAAAGGGGGGAAAAAACCGCGCCCCACCCCCCCGCAACCCCCGCCCCACCGCGACGCCCCGCCCCACGCCACCCCGCGGGGGGGGGGGGGGGGGGGACGGGGGGGGGGGGGGGGGGGGGGGGGGGGGGGGGGGGGGGGGGGGGGGGGGGGGGGGGGGGGGGGGGGGGGGCCGCGGGGGGCCCGGGGGGGGGGGGGGGGCCCCCCCCCGCCCCCCCCCCCCCCGGGGGGGGGCGGGGGGATTAAAATGTTTAAAATAGGGAAAGGGCGGGGGGGGGGGGGGGGGGGAAAGGGAGGGGGGAAAAAAAGGGAAAAAAAGAGGGGCAAACAACGCAAAAAACCCCACAACCCCCCCCCCGGCCGCCCCGCCGGCGGCCCGGGGGGGGGGGGGGGGGGGGGGGGGGGGGGGGGGGGGGGGGGGGGGGGGGGGGGGGGGGGGGGGGGGGGGGGGGGGGGGGGGGGGGGGGGGGGGGGGGGGGGGGGGGCCGCCGCCCGGGGGGGGGGGCGCCGCGGCCCCCCCCCCCCCGCGGGGGGCCCCCCCCGTCGGGGTTTTTTTTAATATAAAAAAAGGCCCGCGCGCGGGGGAGAAAGGGGGGGAAAGAGAAAAAAGAAAAAAAAAAAAAAAAAAAGGCCCCCCCACCCCCACCCCCCCCCCACCCCCCCCCCCCCCGCCGCGCCCCCCCCCGGGGGGGGGGGGGGGGGGGGGGGACCGCGCGGGGGGGGGGGGGGGGGAGGGGGGGGGGGAGGAGGGGGGGGGGGGGGGGGGGGGGGGCGGGGGGGCGGGGGGGGGGGGGCGGCGGGGGGGGGGGGGGGCGGGGCGGCCCCCCCCCCCCGGGGGGGGGAATTTTTTATATTTTTTTTTGGGGGTTAAAAAAGGGGGGGCCCCCCGGGGGGGGAGAAAGGGGGGAAAAAATTAGGGGGCCCCCAACCGAAAAACCTGGTACCCCCCCCCGCGGGGGTCCCGGGGGGGGGGGGGGGGGGGGCCGGGGGCCCGGGGGGGGGGGGGGGGGGGGGGAAAGCGGGGGGGGGGGGGGGGGGAGGAAGGAAGGGGGAAAAGGGGGGGGGGGGGGGGGGGGGGGGGGGGGGGGGGGGGGGGGGGGGGGGGGGGGGGGGGGGGGGGGGGGCGGGGCCAGGCCCCGCCCGGGGGGGAAATTTTTCAATTTATTTTCGATTTTTAAATTAAACAGACGAAGCAAAGAATTAAAGATGGAACAAAACAAAATAATTCAAGTGAGAGATAGATAACCCAAAGTCCACCGTAGGGGAGAAATGAGAAATGGGAGTAAGGATTCCCAAAAAAAAAAAAAAACTTAATTACGGCACTGAAAAAAGTGAAGACCTTATCAGACGGTAAAAGATATGGCTATCACGTTAGTAAATACAATACACCAACCGCTTGTACACTTTGTTTACGCAACTGTATGTATATTTTCTTGGATTTATTAATATTCATGAGTTCATGACACACTTTAATGTGTTTGTTGTGAAGATTTGGTTTATAGCGATTGAGGTATTCATAATAATATCAATTTAAATACCTATTTTGGACGGAAAATAACATTTTTTTTATATAGTCCTCGGATAGGTTTGTATAGTAAGTAAATAGGCGTTATTAGAATAATACGTTTGCTCGTAGCGCTTTGTATTGCGCGTTATAAATACTTTATATAGAAATCTTTAAGGCGAAAGTGAAAGTAGATAACAATTGTTTTTTCGCATTGTACACAAGTTTACGTTACAATCGAACAAAACATTGACGCATCTCCTTATCTAGTGATATTTAAAGACAGGAGTATAACAAAGTGAGAGGTCAGAATAAGTGGCGCTTTAAACTTGAACAATGATTCAGATGTACTCATATGAACCCGATGGTCATCATCGACATCTTCAGATAACGCTCGAAAAGCACAAGCAGTATTAACGAGTGATGAAGAAATAAATACTCCAATCTGCAAAGCACTGAGACGGTATAAAACTGGTTATTTATTTTTAGCACGTTCCGAATGAGGCAACAAAAGATAAACGATAAGTTTAAGTAATGTGAGAGATATTTCGAAGGCGATTTTACTCTTTCAAAATGACGCGAACGCTGGCTCCGATTTAAATCATATAGATCTGAAAGTGAAGGTCAGTGTTTGAAGCAAAACAACTTGTTTATATCGTACGATAATCTCGTATTCGATGCCTACCTACCTGCTTTACGTAAGCAATCGCCAGATAGGTTACAAATAGATATGAAGATAAAACAAATATCATTCTATAAAAAAACCTACGTACTTTTCCACAAAGCGGTTATATTTTTATCGCGGAAAATATTATAATGTCCAAAGGTAAACAAACGATTCCCTAGTACCTAATCGCTCTTATCGAATTTAGGAAATTGGAAAAAAAGAAATTTTGATAATAAACGATTATTATATTACTGAAACAGTTCCTGCCATCATAACTGCCCCTTTACGAAACTCAACGAAATACAGGTTGAACAAGATTATTAACTTTATACATATTTTTATTCAGGGCAAGAGTGAAAGATGGCAGACCTGAAATGAAACCTTAACAAGACACTGACAACGAGTTTTTTAGACGACTGGTCACAAGCTAGTAGCAGGGAAGCCGTAATCTATACGTAATTGCATATTAAAATTGCCATTATACATTGCATACAGTCTCTCTGCATAACAAAACATGTATATAAAAATTATAAAAACGATGTGAAGGTGATGTAAAATTAAATATTACATTTTTTTTGGCTGTACGTTTGTTGCCTGCTCCATAAAAGTGCTACAAACTAATTAATTAGGACTACTTTTTTGGGACGTCAATTTTGACATTGTCTGTAGTCTATACGAGTTTCTACACGTTCAACGGTTTAAAACGCGAAATGTTTTAACTTATTTACAATTTATTTATTTGGGGGAGACTGACCCCCGTGGCTGCTGTTAAGCATCCGAAACGTCATGTCCTACTTTAAATAAATTGTAAATGAGTTAACTAATACATTTCGCGTTTTAAACAATGAACAGGCAAAGAATTAGAATATACTGTGGCCTGTGGTGACGTCACCATAGTCACCTTCTGTCCTCTCGCTAATCCAACTCAATCGCATAACATTATTGCAATCAGTATTAATCTGTGGAGCACGTGTCTCCACTCCAGTGGCACATTGAGGGCAGCTTTCCTTCCGTGTCTATTCTTACTTCAGGTCACGCTTGACTCATGCAAATCATGTACACAATTAACATATTAGCATAACTCGACGTTTGATGACAATAAAGAAGTCAACATGTAACTTCTTTCAACCATTTCTAGTAATTAAAAGGGATGTCATAGTTTTAAATTAGTGAGTTTAGAGAATTTTATACAGATCTTTCTCCTGTCCTGATTTTATTATAATGCCAGACTGATAGGAACGTTTATTATTTCTACCATTTATATATATTATCATTTGTTAGTTCTACTACTCTCGCTTTGTCTTCTCTCTAACAAATATAAGACAGTAGCAAGAACCCATTAACATATGTTCTACGTCAATATTTATGTTCCCAGCTAAGTTGCACTCTATCTATATATAATTTTAAATTTGTAAAGATTCAATAAAAACCCATTCAATAATAATCTCAAATAAATTTAGAATAACGTCGTAAAAACATTGAGACACGATAAAAAGCCGATACTACTATCACATCAGTTACGTAAATACGAAAAACAATACAAACATTGAAAAACTTCCAGTTAAACAAGCACGACACTTCAAAGTAGACGAGAAGCTAATGATCAAAGGAAAAAATGAAACGACTCACAGCACGTTGCGCGTGTGAGCTGCTAGAATTCAGGTCAGTAGTGTGGTGATTAAACTAGTTAATAGTGAAAATCCCGGATAAACAAAACATTCAGTTATGTAACCCTTGCTTCGGGCAGGAAACTTTATAGCAAACGGGGAATCAAAGAAGCCGCTAGGAATAGAAGCCGATAGGGTAATCCCGAAAGTGTATCGAGTCGAATCTATAAATTTTGCATTTCCAATAAATATGGAGCTCCTAGCGAAAGCATCGATTAGTGTGTAGTAACAGTTGAAAATAATTTTGAACAATCTATTTAAATTGAAATTTTGACGTTACAGAATCAGCACAGTGTTTCGTACAGCCGCTCTTGCTCTTACCAATTCCATAATGTGCGAAATATTAAAAATTAAATATAAAAGTAAAATTTTATCAAACATAATATTCAGGGTAACAGTCTCAATCCTAAACAGACACATAAATATTGTACATTACGTAACGAACCGAATGTGTGTCACGTGTTCTATAAATAACATTTTTTGTGTAATGTTCCGCTGATAATCGTATGTATACCAACGTCTAATACATAATTATCCGATTATCTTTACGGCTTCATTAAAATATTATATCTGTTACCGACGCTCGATAACGTTATAAGCTGTGGTAAAAATAAAGATATGTGGAAACAGATCAGCGATCAGATTGACAATAATGACATTAAAAATTATTTTTTGATGGATATCTCACATGATTAATTACTGTAAATCCGCAAGATTGGCAAGTCGAACTGACTGATGCTATAAGTAAAAATATTATAATAACGTCAAACAGTTGTTCAAATATGGCAGAGTTCAGTTCCTTACAGCGATAAAAGTAAATTCTAAATATTCTTATATTAGTAAAACGACAAACAAACAGTAAGGATCGAATGGTATAAAAATACAGTGAAGCAATGGGCATTAGGACTGTATTGGGGTCAATCGTTTGAGGCCATCTGCTATTGCTAATTATAGACGAGACGAGGAGTGCAGGCGTACATCAGCTAAGGCTCAATTGAAATCACGAATAACACTTGTGGTGGAATCGTGGCTCTTGGGATTCTTCGCCAAGCCACTGGGCAAGCTAGAAATAGCATATCGGTATAACAGTACTGCAAATTTCATAAGCGACGGCGATAAAAACTGCGAGTTAAGAAGTTCTAGTCGCGATTCAGTCAAATTGGGAAATACTATCAACCTAGATACATTTAATTGCGAACATGTTATTTGCAAATACGCTTTCAATAAACCTACAGCGAAATTGAGCTATTAGTGACGACTTCTTTATGATTTAGAGAAGACTGCGACTAATTAATTAATTGTTCTGTATCATGTTGGACTTCGTATGGAAATCTGGATACTAAACGGGTGGTAGGAATAACGAAATTCCGTCCGGATCAAGAACCACCGTCCGCAGATGAAAAAGCCAAGTTTAATCGCGTTTCCATTTCAGTTCGTGGATATCCGAATATCCATAGGTCGACAGGACACCTTGTTTAGATTTTATATGGTTGGAGTTCACTAAGTAAATATATATATAAAAAAAACGTGTATTGCACATTGTTTTGTATACGACACAGGCTACTCAAATTCTTGTTTCTCTCAAAAACTACGGACATATACAACGCAGCAGCAGGCTACATGTTCTTAGAAGCTGTAAGGAGCACATCTGAAGACGGAACTCCGTGTCTCACGGCTGACTGACAACCGCACCTGTCATGCATTATTGGTAGGGTTGACAGCGAATGACATTAAAGGCGGCTATTTTTTAGTAGAGTCTACCTAAGACTTAAAAGAAGAGCGCCCTGATCTTTAAGCAAAAGACAGTTAATGAAATACAAGATTTATTTAGAATTGTATTGTCATAGTTATAAAAAATTCATATTTTGGTCCAAGCCAAGTTTTTGTAATATAGATCTTTGACAAAGTAGTTTGACAGCGCAGGTTTACCTACAATCAAGAGAACCTTAGTTGTTTGTTATAAACAAAAAGAATATGTGACAATATATAAGGGGATAATCGTAATATTGATTAATTTGTTTTCAGTGTTACCTACTGTCAACAGGGAAAGAAAATGTTATATACCCTATATTTACTGCGGAACGAGACATTCTAACTATATTTTTGTCCGGGCGGGCTTTGACGGGTCGGTCTCATGGTAGCAATATAGCTGATAAGCACCGGGTCTAATTCCGTCCGAGTCACGAACCATCATTCTCAGATGAAAAAGCCACAGGGCTTTCTAAACAGCGCATCTAGTGCTAAATAAGGAGATCGTCGGGATTCTTAAATGATTCACAACCCTAATCACGACGTACGCACACAAGTGTGCAACGGGCGTTTGAACATGATGGATGATCATTAAGATTCTCGTTGTGATAAGATAATTATTGCGTGCACTGTTTGTGGTTGTTTGCATGTGGTCGTTTGTGATTGAAAAACAGAACCAGGATTCAGATCTTCATAAGGAAAAGTGTGCAATCTAGAAAGGAGTACAAACGATAACGTTTTACAACGTGGCAATTAGAGAAATGGTATAATTTAAGTATATAAAAAGTATTTGATTTTAACTGAAATGATGTCAGATTTATAATAAAATATTGATTGTTTATTGAGGAAGCGTTCTTCTGCAAGAGATGAGATTCTTGATTGAATATAAAATGTTACTTAACGTCTCAATTCAAATGCACTGTTGTTCCCCTCAGATGTAGAATATTAATTTTGTAAACAGATTAATTAAATTAAAATGTCAATAATAATTTGATATTTGAAAATTTTGATATTTTTTCAATTGTATTGTACATGGTGGCACTTCTATGAATTAAAAATCGATAACAAATTGCAAACGCGAACGATGCGCGTATAATTAAGTTGAAAAAAAATCGACCATGACGTGTAGGATTCGGTAGCTCAACTGTTTAGAGCAACAGCGCGGAACGCTGGGGATGCCGGTTCAAGTCCTGCCCGAGTCGTACATTTTTAATTCAAATAATTTGAAAGTCACTAGCTACATTGAAATCAATAAGAAATCTATTTTAATAAGTCTTTAAGTGTCACGTAACTCTTTATGTAAGTGTTTGATGTCATAAATACATTGTACGGTTTATTGAGCATTGTAATGACCTTAGCATAGGTATGGTATTGTTGCCATTCTGTAAATAGACTAATAGGAAGATTATTTCAGAAGATCGCGTACGGACGATAAGTATATTTAATTAGCCACTCTGCCTTTGAACTACGTGTACCACAAAGTGATCGACAAAAAGCAATAATTAATTTCATCTCACGCGAATTATAGAAATATTTAACGTCATTTAAGCTATAATATGTAGATAATTTTATGTGTACAACGATCTATTTTCAGTCGGTTTCGTAATTAAAATTATACCTAATTCGCTTGAATATATCATTCTTGTATATAATGAATTAATTTTTAAGCATAAACAATGTTCAAATAGTCAGAAAATTACTTATATACTGTACAAACAAACATAATTAAAGCAAATACAATAACGAAATACTAATTTTAATTTAAATATACCTATTGTAATCTAAACTTATTTAGCGGGTAGTTTTACGCAATTATAGAAACAACTAACCTAGAGATAAGTAGAAAGGTTCAAACTAAAATAAGATGGCTACGCTATTTAGTAGAAGACCGCTACTTTTTCGAATAAATCGTAAACACGTTTCCGTTTTGTACGCTACTACCTAAAATACTTATTTGGATGGGGATTTGCTTGTTTTAGTTTTTTACTAACATATACAGTTATATATTATATAATTATAAATTATCTATAACAACTTACCATTGCTTGCTCGATCTTATTGTCGATGGCCACGGCGCTTGTCCCGGAAGCGCTGTAACAAAGAGAAGTCAAATTAGAAAGAACATTCTAGAATATCTAATCTAATCTTTGAAGTCAAATACCTATAGGCATTTCTCGTTACAATTATGTGTACAATAATTTAGTATAGTTGTAGTGTATGAGATTGATGCACTATAAATAGGTACAACATTTTAACGGTTCCAAAAACTTTTTTGTGTAACTTTCTTTTATGTCCTTTGTTTACCTCGCACATTCCTCGTTTCATTAAATTCTTATTTGTTTTTAAACCTTAAATAGCGTTTCAAAATGCACGTCTAAATAAGTCAGTCAGTTTAAGAATGTAATTCGTTGCCTTATCGCGAAACGTTGAATGCGTGCTTAAACGGCTTATCGGTCACTTTCACATTGAAATGGCTCAAATAAAGCACTTTGATTAATACCTTGGTCATTTAATCCTAGACCTTGCCGATCGAACTGCTGTTTTTATTGCATACACTTTGGCTTTAGGTATTTGTATGTACTTTATTTCAGGATGTACAGAATGTTTATCATATTTCTTTTAAGCTGCCTACTTGATTCTCTCGCAACTATTTATCTATATTAATATTTGGTATAAAAAGTACGTATGGGTTGTAAGATTAAAATTAGAAAAGAAATAACGGTCAAATAGTTATTGTACGAGTACATAACGTTAAACAATTAGTACACATTACACTTAAGATACATTATTTATAAGCTGCAAAGCATTTGAAACATGGGGTCGACTTAAAATAAAATAAACTAACGGACATGCGTATAAACCTCGCGAAATATCATAATTTCTGTATAATTCAACAAGGCCTCACATCAGCAATAAATACATATAGAATGACAAGGACTTCTGATCGCCAAAACAGTTGAAAATACACAGTTATTATAGAGGTATGTGTGAAAATTCACATGTGTTAACGGATGATTATGCTAACATAGATCGTTGCGAAGTAAACATTTAAATGCCGAGTAATGGAGCAACATAACAATAGGGCTTCGGAGACGGAAGTACTGTACGGGTCAAAGCCAAGCGTTGGAAACACAACGCATTTTATTCTAATTAGTATTACTCGATTGACATTTGGACAACAGCGCTATTAACGTCTTGTCTTAACCTGCGCCCAGCAGTGGGACAACGCGAGTTTCAAACGGAGGTTGTCTAATGCAAAGCTGACGTTAGCTAAGCTTTGAAAACTTTAATATTTTTTACATGTTCTTGCATATGATGGCACTGTATAAATTAAAAATCGATAATAAATTGAAAAAAAAAAACAAATACAGGGACAGGACTTGAAACGGCATCCAGAGCGATCCGTGCTGTTGTTCTAACTTTTAACTTAACTTTCTCTGTAAAAAAATCGATGATGGCATGTAGGACGCGGTGTCTCAAATTGGTTAGAGCAACAGAACGTTGAGGATGCCGGTTCAAGTCCTGCCCCGTCTCGTAAAGTTAGCTAAGCTTTTCAAAATTTCTTTTAACTGAACCTTCTTGAATATTGTATCATAAAATGTGGTGATGGTTGTACAATATCGACTTTATAAGCTAACACTGCTTTTGTAACCATTCTCCAAGCGATGTAGCACAATATGAGACCGTTCTTGACTTTCTCCAGTCAGATCCGTGCCGTCGAACCGTCATTGAAGTGAGTATCGCCGAAGTTGAGGAGCAGTGGAGCGTTGAGAACCGCGGCCGCGTATCAATTTCGACCAGTTCATTACTGTCCGAGTCCGGAGACATATTAAATAACCTTCGAGATTTCACGACCACCTACTGACGCTTAAACACGCATGGCGGAAATTGTCATTCGTGATCGCCTTTTCGCTGTTTCAATGGATAACGTTATAAAATTAATAACATTAAAATTGCTTAGTATCGCATCAGGGGCGTTAAAACTCCATTCAGATATTTATATAAAAATGTGTATAAATTTAAATATTGATACGAGTCCTTCGTGCGTGTGACTTTGGTCACTTCGTCTTCCCCCTTCCCCCTTTTCTTTTTCCCTTCCCCACACTTTGCAACTTTCTTGCTCCGTTTTCCTCTCATTGTCCCAGCCAATGTCCATTTTAATCGTCTAATCATCGTTGCTCGGTCTATTACGTTTGTCTTACCGCCAATCACTCTTGAAGAATCGTTAGGATAGTATTATACATTTTAATATTATTAAATATAGAAGTCTCTGTGTGTGGCTATATTTTGTAGTGATGAAATTCTGCTTTCTCTTGATTATGTAGAGAAACACAACAAGTTTCGTTTCTTTCTTTATTACGCAAGGACAGTGACAGTGCTGACAGATAGTGACAAACCGTATCAAAATATGAAACAAACATTTTCACATGTTTTTTTTAAATCTACAACTCATATGACTTGAAGAATGTTTTCTATCTCTTGTTATTTATAATTGTTTGTGAAATTTGAAATATATATAATATTGCCTGTTCTATGTGCAGGTACACTTTGGTGAAATTATAACTTTTGGTCGAAAGTAAACTGTGACAGTGAATCACTATAAATCGATATTTCCAGACAATCAAGCAGTGTCAGCAAAGTTCAAGAACTCCAAGAATAATATAGCTGAACTCATGAAAATTCAACAGCGAGTGATTCATGCGATTCCATTGTGATTTTATTAGACTTAAATATTTAAATAGTTGGACGATATAACGTAATTAGATCGTCGTGCAAAGTATGTTAGCTTTATGCATGTCAACAAAACGTTGAATACATAGATGTTTTTTTTTCTCTTCAAATTAATGATTTTGACTGCAAAATACTACTACTAGATAGTATTTTGCGTTGAACCAATTTCCTAGTACGAATAATGGCACGTACGAACTTTAACTTTTACGAAAATTTTAACTTGAAAAACATCTCGATTCGACTCGATTGTATCAAGGAAAAACATTTGTCCGTCGTACAATCGTTCGAGTAAAGATTCCAGCAGTATTTTATAAGTTGACGTGGTAGATTGCAGGTGGCGTGGTGCATTGCGGTGGTACACAGTCGGCAGTCGCGCGGCGCGAAGCCAAGGTCGATGAAGGGAAATCGTATAACGATGTCGACATAGCCCAAGTTCCTCACGACCGTTACATCTCACTGCAACGTTTCACAACACTCACTCGTGTCGATCATTACTTAATTAAGTGAGGAAACAGAGTGGCAACGATTGTTAGGAATTCCTCTCGACCACTAAATGCTTACCGTAGAGTCAACGGGATCTTGTATCATAACCTATTACTCTGGGTAGAACCAAGTGTAGGAGAAGAAATAATCTCCATACCAGCACAGAACAGCGAAGGCTATACACATATATAGCATGCTGCAATGCAAGCAATCGATAGAGCAGTAAGTTTAAGTTTTCGTTCAAGCTCAATGGGCGGCGCTGACGTCAGCGAATCGCCGCCGGACACTTCTGTAAAGCCTTAACCGACTTACCCCTCGAGTGTCGTGACCTTAAGACGCAGAATCTCTGGAGACGTTTGAGAGAGGCCGCAGTGCGCCAGCGGTAATAAAAAAACTATACTCACACAGGATAGAAGTAGTCGATGTACTTAACGACGACTTCTCGCAGCAGATCCTGTTTGTTCATGATGGACGAGTAGCTCGTATTAATAAGTTTAGTTTGCATGACGTCGTCTTCTAGAAGGCGCAGGCCGTGGGACGACGGTGTCCCACCTTTGGGCTGTAACGGAGCCGTCGTGGAAATTGTATGTTGACCGTTGTGCGTGTTGCGGTAAGCTATTTTAATAACGATTACATCGATACACGAGCGACCGGACCAACGCGTTGCAGTAAACTGGGAGCGGGGCGTCGGGGCGGCGGAGAGGGGGGGCCGACCAGAGCAAGTGGCGCGCGCACGGCTTTACCTACTACGGGGCTACGAATTATTACGATGGCATGGCGCCTCCAAACATTCGCTTAATGATTTTCGTTGCAGTATCCTTTCGAGCCAGATTTGCGTTTGTTTGTTTGGATTCCTTTAAGTGCCATGTTATTTGTGCATTTGTTGTGTAGGATATATCTTAAGATCATATTTATCTAACTTGATAAACTATTAATATATAAGTATTTATAATGTTTTAATATAAATTTATTTACTTTTTTATTAATAAAGTTATTTTCTTTTTGATTGATGGATTAATCAAGAAGGACATACCTTTAAGTATCTTTCTTTGAAGTCAGAACTTCCAAACTATAAAACATAAGCAGTAATATTCACATAATTATTGAATTTATCAAAAGTGCACGGTACATAATATAAACAGAGGTAAATCCGCTTATCCCTTCAAATGAAAGTTGAAACATAACAAGTTATGTAAGTTTTACAGGCACCAACGTGCCATAATTATAATTAACTTAACTGTCGTTAATTTTAATTCCTAGTAGAGATGATTTCCTAAGAGAAGCAACATTTTTATCTTATAACAAGGAAGAAATGATTCCTACATAAGTATAGATAATATGATAAATTTAGTATCGTTTTTGGTCTTTACAAAAGATCGTTTGATACAAAATTAACTATAATTACTTAACTAAATCAATAAGAAGAAATAAATTAAACGGAGTACATTTTTTACGATGAACATATGGCCAACAGTTTACCTCAAGGGTCGTACAGTCTCGAGGTACGACCCTTCTAGATATCGCCATTGACCCTTGCATTAATAAATAATAATAACTAATGTAGCACCCTGCGTTACACATCTGCAAATTAAGCACGTTGTGGCACAGGTTAGATATATACCTTGTCAAATATAGGATGATATGTGGACGCTGATTACTATATTTATAATAAGACACAAAATAGCCTTATATAACATCTATTAAAAAATAATCCTAAAAAAGCATAGAAATGTTCATGTGCATGTTAGTGGAGTGGTTTTAGCATTATTCTAATCAATTTTTTTTTTTTCTAAAACATGTTGGACTTCGTCTGAAAATCTGGACATTGAATGCGTGGTAGGAAGATCGATTCCGTTCTGGTCACGAACCACCGCCCACAGATGAAAAATACGTGTCAATAAGTTTGAATCGCGTTTCGATTTCAGTCTGTGGATTTCCGAATATACGAAGCCCAAATAGGTAGACAGCGCGCCTTGTATAGATGTTATATGTTTGCGATATTTCACCTACCATCAAATGTACCCCTCCCCCTCCTCTATCATTAAAACATCTAACTCCTTCTTTTCAATAATCGATTAGATTAACTACCGATAACGTGCTCTACATTGTAAATTATTAGTACCATTCTATATTAGACAATGCATAGATAATTTTAATAAAAAAAAGAAAAGAAAAAAAAGGGGATTTTTTGTTTTATTTTTTTTTTATTTTTTTTTTTCCTCCGGGCCGGGGGGTGGGGTTTGGGGGGCCGGGGGGGGGGGGGGGGCCCCGGGGGGTGGCGCGGGGGGGGGCCCCCCGTGACCACGGCTGCTGCAAAGCATCCGAAACGTCGGGCCGAAGTTAAAAATCATTTTCAAATAAGTTTAACTAATATATCGCGTTTTACTTAAAGTGTTTTATTTAAATGTGTACCTCGCGTAAACTTAGAATATTTAATATAATAATTTTAATAGAATTAAGCAGACTTCCGCGATAATTATACCGCCCTGGCAATGACAGTGGCAGCCAACTGAGTAATAATTTACGAGTGATACATGATACTGTTGTTATTAATTGAACTAGACTAACGATGGAACTACAGATGTTGACTTGTGTAGAAATAGCGCATATTAAATCAGAAAGTATTTTTAGGTATAATTTGCGCACCTAGAGAACGAGAGTAAAACATCTACGCCCTTAGAGAAATAATAACGCAATTTGTTGTAACAAAATGAGAATATAGAGTGTCTCATCGAAGATTATTTCAAACAGACTTAAGTCCATAGACAACACAGATATTTTTTTTTAGTTTACCAACACTTATTACTTTATACACGCGACAATTATTTATATGAACATTTCATGGGTATAAACAATTATAGGTAACCATAAAGTGCTTTAAAATTAAAAATAAGGGTCAATTCTATGACTTTACTTTTTAATTTCAACTCACAAACAAATTAAACTCGTGACCAAAAGCAGAACAAGTCTAGGCGAATATCTAATAACTATTAGTACTTGCAAATACATTTTTATCAAAAATTACAAAGATGCGGAAAGTACTCTTAGGCTAGAAACGTCTAAAATGTATATTGACACAATAAAGGACATTTTAGTCAGTGATTGGTCATCACGATATAATAATAAAAATATTGACGTACTAATGGAATGAAGGAAAAAATAAATATTGTGGGAATATTTTCAAGTGTTGCGCAGTGCGCATAGTGATGATCTAATGGCGTGACTACATCACAGCTGTAGGTATACAATTAATAGGCAATTAATTGCACATTTTATATTAACATTAAACTTATTATAAAACGTGATTTATCCCATACGATTAACTTTTTATGAGGTTTAATAACCTGCAAATATTATGCCAGATATTTCTATCAGAAAAACACTATGATGATGGATAGATTATTTCTGTTTAAATATGTATTGAGTATTTATGTATCTTTAGTTTACACTAGTTGTGTGTAAACATTTAAAAATGAAATATTACCCCCCCCCAATGAGCCCACCCGTGGCTACTGTAAACCATCCGGAAATGTCAAGCCGTAGTTAACGATAAGCACACTACTACACTTATGGAGTTCATGTTTAAAACCGTCAATTTTTATTTAAATATGTATTTGTATTTAAGATTTAGTGTATATATTATTATAAGCCAACGACATCGAACTAAAGCCCATTGTATACACGGTAAATTTATTTTCTTCGATTGCGTAACATAGAACGCAGATCAAGGTTGTTGTGCTGTGGTTAAAGGTTTTGGTTACAGCTGATTCATAGCACATTGCATCGTTTAGTGTTTACCTTATTTGTATTTAACATTTTCTATCGTCCTTCGGGGAAAATTGCTAGAAATGACATCAACAAAACGAATGACGCTAAAATTAAACCCACGGAAGCCAAAAAAGACTTCATGTATTTTAATATCGCTTTTAAATCAGTCGAATGTAAATAAAGTAATTGATGAGAATCACTAAGTGTTTCAACATAATTCTGTACTCTTTTATGCTAATTATATTTGTTGAATAGCAAAACTTTAAATAATAAAGAACAAGGATTTTCACCTTTTAATATCAAGAAAGAAGAGATATCAATATTACTTTATTAACTGCTGCAGCATCTATCTGAATTAAAATGAAATTAGTAGATAAATAATATAATTATAGAATAATCGAACTAATCATTAATATCGCCTCTCATTATAACACCCATCACGTCAACATCAGATAATAATGATAAATAATCAACGAGTAAGATACTGTGCATTTGTATGCGTTCCTGATCTCGTATTTGTTTTCATATGGTTTTGCATCTATTACTAGATTAGCACGTGTAAAATTTGTTTTAAATCCGTTTAAAATGTAATGTCTTATTGAACATCAGGCAAATAATGAGAATTCTATTACTGTACAACATTTTGAAGCTTCATCAGCAATTTTATTTTTGTCTGCGAAACAAGCCATGTGCGTTCAAAAACCAATGCTACCATACTTAAATTTCTCCCTTTTGATTAAGAATTCTTTTCGTATGACACTGGTCACAAGTGAAATGTTTACTAAAGGAAAAGTATATAGGATATACACAGCTTTACCATCTCAAGCAAGAAACATTATAACCAAATTATCTACAAATCACATGTTGGATGAAAAGAAGCGCAGTGCCTGGTCTACATCCTTATTGCCTCAATTGTTGGACTTAGCAGCACAAATGAAAGCATCCGCTGCATACAGTAGTTAGAAATCAAGCTCTTAATAAGAACATCATTATCAATTTAGTGAAAAATTGCTATAATTTATCTTTTTTTAAGGGGAGGGGGTTAAATTGCCACTGAAAAGGTTTGAAAACAATAAAGCGTGAAGTTCCTTAAATTTTCCAAATTATTTAAAGTACATTTTAATCCGTACAACTTATTATGGTAGCTCCATGTCGTATTGATTTATTTTTCTAGTCCGCAGCAAATTTATGTGTGAAATTGATTTAAATTTGAATATGCCCAGTTGGTAGAATTTAAATAAACAGAAAAGACTAACGTACCAGAGTCAACGAAAAACAATTGCCTAATTTATGGTACAAAACAGATGGTAAATAAATCCTGAACATCACCTAATCACCTGTTAGAAGTAAATATAATCAAACAAAGGTAAGAAAAGTAATATAACAATCACGCAGCGATCGTATTAAGATAGATAACGATGACAGAGATAAGACAAGAAGCGATAGCAATGACAAAATATATCATTCAAGTTATCTATAGCCTTTTCAGTGAAGTTTATGCAATCCACGATTATATAGTAGTGCTATTAGCATAGAACAATTACTTACGAACACCACGTATTACGACGGCCAGAATTTTGACGCTGAACCGTCGGTTTTGGATTTACATCTGGAGGTAGGTTTAGTTTTAAGCCAGCGATTGATTTACGTCGTTTTGCGGCTAAAGCGCGCGACGCCAGATCTGAATTGTGCGACGGTTCGGCTGGTGAAGCATGAGAGCATGTCTTCATGTGCGCCTGCGCCGTGGCCATCTGAAGCAGTTTGCTGGACAGGCTTCGGCGCCCGAGGGCCTCGCAAGTCGCGCACCGTCCGTCGTCCATTAGGGTCTTCGTGCGTTCGACCCGGCCACGTTACGTGCACTGAGCGTCAATTGTTTCCAGCGTGGTAGTTTAACTGATGTCATCTAACGAGCGACACGCGCACTGCCGTACATAAAATCTTACACTACACTCTAAGCGAGAAATCGATATTGGCCGAAAAGTTAATGCGATAATAGAGGCGATAAGCTTCAGGACACGACAAATGGAGTATTGTCCTAGCATACACGGCTTCGCACCGACCTCGACGAGCGGCCGCGCGCTAGCGTCGCGACTCAGGCGACTGCGGTCAAATGGAGACGCACATCCCCTTTGTAATATGAACGATCGCAAAGATATCGATGATTGTGGTATATAATACGCGAACAAGCCACGAACGATTGCATTTACGTCATAAAATAATGAGGTTTTGAATGACATACATTCCTACATTCTGGATGCTGTCCAGGTTCTCGTTACAGAGATCATTTCATCTCTATAAAATTAATTGGGTAAGATGCCTTGATTAAATAATATTTCGCAACAACATCATAAATAAAGAAAAATATTACAAGTATCAAATAGTTACCACTACTACTAAAAAAATAATTGTTGGTAGAGGCCAGCCTGTGGTGTGCTTGTGACATGTGCTGCTCCTCACACCCACGAACTATCTTAAAGACAGTTGCCTAGTTTTTAAACGTACGATCAGCCCAGAGTCGAGTTAATGCTTATTTTTTTAAATTGAGCGTACTTACGTAATTAAGTCTTCATCAAATAATACTACTATTTTTTTTGACTGGCTTGATGTGGTGTGATGGTAGCAATGTGCGGCTAATCAAGGGGTCGTTGGGTTCGATCCCCACTGGGTCCAACAATGTTTAATTAATGTATTATTTTTCTCAAACATGTTGGACTTCGTTGGGAAATAGGAATATTAAGGGGGTGGTAATATTGAAATTGCGGCCGGATCACGAACCACAGTCCACGGATGAAAAGGCCTGTTTATTTCAAAGGTTAAATAGGTCGACAGCGCACTCTGTTTAGATTTTATGTGGCTGGCATTTCAACTACCATCAAGTGAAACCCACGCTTGTCTGACACGCTCCTCTACTTAAAAAATACTACTTTTAAGTTCTTGATCAACGAAACATATATTTTAACTTATTTAAACGGGAAATATACAATATCTGTTGATGATGCTTTATAGCAGTCGTGGCCACGGAAGGACATGTTTTATTATAATATCCACTATCAGTAGCGTATGCAATACCTAACCTTACAAATATATGGTAACGTACATTACATAACTACCAATACAATATTATAATATTATGTAGGCGTTGCCAAAGAAATATTAAATGGTTTGTGTGAGTACGATCACTCAATTATCAATCTATAGAACAAGTACCCTATCAATTTATTCGTATAGTTGAAGGCTACATTTAAATACATTGAAACATTATCTCTCTTACTTAATATTATACGATAACGTCTCTAAAATATAGGTTATCCGAAAAAAAACTAACGACCTTATCAAGAGTTTGCTCATTATTTATGTACTTATTGTTAAAAAATGTTTGAATTAATTTAGTGTGTTCTAATGTATTTATTTTGTAATTTACTCTAATGCTCACCATACGGCAAACGTGATTAATGATAAAGAGTTTCAAGCCGATTTATGGGTTTGCATGTCCCATAAAAAACCCTTACCTGTCCAGTACGATACTCATGTGTCTATGCAAATTTGCTTTGAGGTCGCGGCGTGAATACTGCACTTGCGCGGCGTATGGTGCGGGAGGCGTGGTCCCAGAGGGGGCCCGCTTCCCCACCAGCACCCGCAACTCGGCCATCAGCGTTTGCACCATGCGGAACACGACTTATCACCACTCCGCCACGTAAAGTAATGTTTACGTTGTGCTATCAAACGATCGGTCTGCCAAGAGCCATTGGCTCGGCCGCTGTTCCGTCACCTCGCGTCATTGAAGTGATGAGCGTCTTCGCCTAGCGCGTGCGAGCTCTACACTGTCGCTTCTCGCTCGGAGCTGACCTCGTCGCTTTTTATAAGTATCCAACGAGAACGCAGGGCGCCGCTTTGGAGAAAATATTTTCCCAATTTATTATTAGGCACCAACTTCGGCCACATGCCGAAATATAGGGTGGCGTTTATTTTAACCCATGGGTTGCTGGAAGGTGAAAGACCCGCACGCGATTAATTGGTCGATTAGAAATTAACAAAGAAAATGTAGGTCAGCTGCAGCGGAACAAAGGCTACGCGAAGAAATGAGGTCGTACGAGTGTTGTTGAATTCGCTCGACGAATTGGAAGCTAAATAGAGCGCTCTCTTTCGTCGTTGAATAAGACCAAGGCCATTAAAAAAATTACAGGATGATCCGTAGAATAAGTTGTATAGTGTTAATAATATTAAACACATATTATTTTTCATGGCGTTCAGGAAACAACTATCCCCGATAACCTTTGAATCAGAAGGTTATATATAGCACACAATGATAACACGTTTTCTAGTCAAACTAGAATATGCCAATATGTGTTTCTATATAGTGTGGGGACCACAGAATATTAGTGTTGCCTTTTCCTAGGAAACCGCAGTGTTGTATGTTAGCTCTTATTTAATTGTATAATAATATTAAATTTGTTATTCTTGTATTATGATTATAAATTTGGTGTTGTTTTCTGAATAACCGTATTTCTAATTTTCTATTCTATTCAATATAAAGGTTAAAATTTGTGATTATGAAAACGAGTCAGATAAATAAATTTATATTTGTCGGAAGACATAGTTCTGGCTAATATAAGCAACAAACCGCCGCGTATAAGAATAAACACGTATGATTTCGCTCTTGAAAACGTAATTAATTTCAGGGCTTTCGCCGTCGCGTCCGCACATTTAAAATAATCGGCTTTGAACATGAATTGTGCGACAGGCGGTTCAGGGAGAGGTGGAAATAGACCCACCTGACATTCCCGACGCCGGAAGCGCGGACGGGCGCGCAGGCGATGGCGGCTATAACGTACAGAATTAAACGTATTTTGGATTTAACAGATCCTATGTTTCTCTAAATAGATCTTCAAATAAAATACTCCTGTTTGCGCTTATAACCTTCGACCAGCACCAGAATACGATGGTACAAGCAACAATACCCGAATCAGATCGCCCAAGCATTTCTAACTTTCTCTAATAAACAATCGACAAGATTACATCAAGATTATCAAAGTAAATAGATTGAACAAAGGTAGATGTAGATGCTAACGTTAAGAGATTAGAATCTTATCAATAATTTTTCGTTTGTAATGATTGTCTGTGTGGTTGGCATGTTAACAGTCTAAGATATATAACAAAGATGCAAATAGATATGACATCTCTGCGACTCAAATGTAGTAAAATAAGTGTAGGTACGGATGGTAAAAATTGCAGTTACCTATAATAGGTTTATCGTCCGTGACCCATTTTAAATAGTTTTTTAGCTACTTTTACGAACTACATATCAGAATAGCTAAGTGTTATAGTAATAAAATATATAGGTGAAGGACGCGAACCATAACAGCTTGACCTGGTTCAGTAAAAGTAAATAATTGCTTGGTTTAACCAATTTAGCCAATACGGTACTCACAGGTGAGTCCTCAAATGGTTCTCCAGCGTAGCTGGTGATGGTTTTCAGTTACAATACGATTTTTCACTATGGATTCACTTAGAAATTGGTGAAATATACGTTCACTTCGCACTGGTGTCGTGTACAAACTGAGTGCGCGCGTCCCTGGTTCCCGACTCCCGTACGTAATCGTGAATGGGGCGGTTTTAAGGGTGGCGCCGGGGCTGTTTTGCTTTGTGGCTAAGCGTCAATCAATATGCGAGAATGACAGGGCGATTGAGAAGCTGTGGCTGTTGCACGTCCATCATCAAAACGCATTTTCTTAACGGAGTAAAAGATCTCAAAAAAATTGTATCTTCCTTTTTATACTTTTAACGGGTTGAAGCCGTATTATTTGAAAGATAATGAATTTAACAACATTTCTTATTCATTTTTTTTTTAATTAGAATTCAAATTTCAACACCTTTATGCTATTGTTTACTATGGACTCTCTGGTTGTCAAGAATTACTGGTTCAATTTGATAAATTAATTTTGTGTTGATTTGACCATTTATCGAGGAAGGCTTAAAGCTATATAAACGGTGGCTTATTAGCAAAGAAATTATGAAAATGTGGAAAAACTACTAATCAGTGAGGGCTTATGTTGCGAAAACAGTTGAACAAAATACGTATTAAAGATTTCTCTTAAAATTATACAAAAAAAATCCGCGACCGTTTATGCCGATATATCTTTTAAAATTAACTTGCAAGATCCGTTTTTATGGTAATCAAATGTGATCGAAATGAATGCATCACCAATTATGTGCTCGAAATGTATCAACATAATACAACAACAAGGATTGCCGGATCAGCTAGTTTTCAAACACACAGAGTTTATATTTCACAAAGCTTACAAACTATAGTTTTGCAATGCAATCAGCAAGTGCAGTGCGATAGGGAATCAAATAATACTTATATTATTATTGTGATATAACAACGTAAAACGCAGCAACTTACGCAACGCAGTTACGTACGCCATAATGATACGCACTATCTCTCGACGTATCGAAACGCATCGTTGCGAGAACTGACGGCTAAAAACTGATTTGTCTGCGCCGCTATTATCAATGTATAGTATGCGTTACCCGCGTTATGCACAAAGCCGGTTATGCGCAAGAGTTATTTATGAAATCAGCATAATTAAAGAGGCGTTAACAAAGCATTTATTTATACTCGAATTACGAGATATCATATATTTAAAATTGTGTAACCGAGAACCGGATACACCGTTCAATAAAACGCTTACGACTAGAACGGGACCGAAATAAATATTAACAGAAGGAATAGGCGATGGGCTTGACGAAAAATATAATAGCTTGGACAGGACGGAACAGACGGAAAGCCTTTGACGAAGCTCTAAACTAAAATTATTTCATAAATTCACATTAACATTTTCTTTCATCAGTCGTTAATTTAACGTCTCAAATATCTACAAGATTTATAAAAATGTTTCCACGAGGAAAAGAAGATCTATGGATCTAGAGTTCACATTAATAAGTAGTGTTACCAGACTCGCGTACCATAATATATAAGCACGTATACGATAAAAATCTTCGTAGCGTGAAGCCGATTTTATCTTAAGCCACCATGCAACTCCTTATGTATTATGCAATGCGTTAATCACGAATCCTTCATTACATGGCAACACAGTTACATAAAAGTGTTAATCTCGGAACAAATTAAAGAACAATTTAAATAATACATAGTATGTAATCCCGTTTTCGACCATAAGGACAGGGACAAACACACTTTTATATCAATGATCGATTTTTAGGTAACCAATTTTTATTTCCCTGGTATTCGGATCCGCGACCTACTCCTCCTCATCTTAAATGCTTGGCGACACATTCAATCAGTAAAGTATGGAGTTGGGTGATACATAGGTAAGGCGAAAATACATAAGCGGGTAGCAATTTGTATTTAATAGAGGAATTAGCGTTCGTCGGTCCAAACTTATCTGACCGCAAGGGAACGAACACCATGGACTTTCGCTTTCTTTGTTGTGAAAGTGTTTATTAGACGCAAGCGGCTATGATTCTAATCCCACACTTCATCAATTGAGATCATTTGTGGAGCTACACATTAGATATCACAGTAGACTAGATAGGAGAAATACGAATGACTTATTCGTCAGTGTGTAGCTATGTACTGTATGTACTGTCGGTTTAACGATTATACAAAACGACTTGGAAACAAAGAAGATGTACACATTAAGTGCGTAAGGATTGTAACAAACACCTTGACAATAAAGGAGTGGCGGCGAGTTTCTTGCCAGTTCTTCTCGTTCGTTTAAATGTAAATTTAGAGTGTTACTGTTTTGATGTTCATAAATATACCTAGCTACTTACACGAATAAATGGTTTTAGTTCTTTTTTATTTTCACATTGTGAAAAACAAACAGCAAAAAAAAATGAATATAAATGTTACCCACATTATTTTGAAAAATTTACAGTGTTCAAAGAAATAACTTGTACAATCGTTTGAACTTGGATAGGATGAGTGTAGTTTAGTAGATCTGTCCAATATAGGATCAAAGAAGACACAATATATTCTTTGGCAAAGAATAACATTTCAAAGATAAAACTTCGTGACCACAGACTTAAATACCTTATTCATTGTATACTGACGTATCTGTCAGCTTCCGTAGTTTAATGGTTAAACACTGTCAAGCAAGAGAAAATCCCGGGGAAACGATAAATTGTTTCGGTCATGTGGGGCATAGACCAATCTGATTAACTGAGCCTAAAAATAAACTCGATTAGAGAAACGGACACACAAATGTGTTCGCCCGCCCACTGGGGAAGCGTGATTTTTTTACTTATAATGTTTTTTAGATATTTGTAAGTTAGTAATGTTCGTATATATATTGAACGTGATAATTTAGGCATCGAATACATAACTTACGTGCGTTGCATACTTATTAATAAAAGATAAGAAAAATAGTCAAATCCGATTGTTGCGTTTTCAAAGAAGTAATTTACGGGGAGAATATTGTAAACATATATTTGGTAACCATAGACACTGACCGAATGCTGTTCTGTGTTTTATTTTAATCCGTTTATTTTAAAAGAACAGGACAAACGTTTTGCAGTTCGTTAAATAAATTGCAAGACATTCATAAATCATACGATGGCCTTGGTGCGTTAATTTTATATACTTGTTAAAAGTTGACCGCGCTAGCTAAATATAATATACAAGTTTTTTTATTGCCTTGAGTGTGTTGGTTCATTTGGCCAATACAGTTATAACAGAACAGTTAATGCTTGTGAATGAAAATTTAGCGAATTCTAACAAAGAACATTTGGTTTGCACTCAGAGAGATTTTAAATTTAAATCTGCTTGTTTACGTGTTCCCAATCGTATAATATATGTTTCGATCACTGTAACAAAGACGGGAATTGAATTTTTCCTCATATCTCAGTTTTAAAGTATGTCACTACACAATGTTTAATACTAAAGAAAGAAGTAAATTTACAGCTATCGAATCCAAAAGCAATGGTCAAGGAATGACTTTGTCAGTCTGCATATTGCACTCTGCCGTTTAAGCTTTTGTACTCTCTATAGAGAGCGAGATATTAAAGAATTTGTAGCGACGGAAATACAAACATATATTGTATAAAATTCGTAAATAGCCATATATATATAGTTTGGTATAAGAAGAAACGTCATAGCGAGCACATTACAAAAACTTACTTTCTAATGCAGTTAGTATAGAGTCGGGTTATATAACTTTACATTATTATTATATACGAATTTACGCTTTGTTTACATCTAAATGCGTTCATTTCACGAGTCAAATATTTTTTTTTTCGTCACGCTATCAGACGAAAACAATAAAGGCGTTAATCGATTGAGCCAATTTGGCCTTTATCTATTTTCACCAGTCAACCGTACCTTACCAACCGATCAGGGTTAATTAGCAAAATGCTACTGGCGTACAAGGTTTCAAACTTGACATTTTACGCGGATAGCGAATAATCAATACCATTCAACGATGCCGATGATTGTACTTAGATTAAGTTAAAATTGGGATTAAAGTAGCTTATTACAGCTTCGATGACTTCCAAATATGGTGGATTTGATGTAGTGCTAGGGTGAATAGCGTACACTTACCCGATGAAATTTTTAATGAAGCAATAGACAGCGAATAGCGTGGCATCGTTCAGACCGAGTTCCGGTTTGATCCTGGGCAAGGCTACGGATGGAGATGCGGCGTCTGGCGGCGGGCCGCGCACCTCCGGCGTGGCCGCGCTCATGGCGGGCCGCGGCCGCTCGCCTGCCGAGTGCGGAGCGATCGTGGACGCCTGCTCAACAGCCAACACGCATAACCACCGCGACCGCCACCAGCGGCGCGGCTGCACCGTCGCCGGAGCCGCACAACCCTGTCCGCGCGCCGACCGGCACACGAGAGCCAAGCGCGCCCGGCACACTCTACTGTATCGATCGTCCCGAACGCGCCTGCGCTTTAGCTTCGACGCTGTGTCGCGCTTCACACGTCCAGCATGAGGAAAGCTAGATATATCACGAGAAAGAACCACGGGCAGAATAGGTACATGCAAAGTGACATGGTGAGGTTCTTTCGGTGTCTCTGTGAGTGACAAAGTGTACGTGGGTATCTGGGGGGGGCGTATAGGGATGCACGTGCAGGTCGCGCGTGCGTCTGTCGGCGCGGCGGCACTCTGACTGGACGTGCCCGCACCGCGTGCTCGCTCCGCCCGATATCCGCTCACCGCACACTATCTATAGGTACATACCAGTTGCCGTACGCATCGCCAACACCTTGATTTACAAGAGGAAGACGCGATAGCCATATAGGAAGCCATTGAAAGCTCTTTGATTACGAATGGACACGTTTTGTTTGGTTATCATTTGAGGTAGAGCCTTTCGTAGACTTTACTTATGATCTGAATCTTTGCATATTATAAGATTATGCACCATTTTATTACATACTATATAGAATGGTGATGATAGACAAAAGATATATATAATGCTCCCAAAAGT